TCAACACTATATCGAAGGCCGTGGATTCACCCTTTTTACTGACCATAAACCTCCTACTTTCTCTTTAAGCTCATCTTCAGACAAGTACTCACCACGTGAGTCTCGACAACTGGACTACATTTCTCAGTTTACTTCAGATATTCGACACATTTCTGGAGCAAACTATGTAGTTGTCCCGCATAAAATCCTTTTTAAAACCCGCCCAGCTTCAAAAAGAAGACACTTATCTTCAGCACGAGTTGTCCTCAACAACAATTAAACTGCGCATTAAACAGACGGGATCAGGTAAGGAAGCCTTACTATGTGACACATCTACAGGTAGGGATCGTCCAATCGTGTCGAAATTATATCGACGCAACGTCTTCAATACGGGTTGGTAGAACGTTTTCACCGACAACCAAAAGCGTCACTATCAGCCTCGAACAGTTCTCAGTGGACTGACGCTCTCCTACTCGTCTTACTAGGCATACGAAATGCAGTGAAAGCTGACATTGGATACACTGCTTCTCAACTCGTTTATGGTAAGACCCTTCGACTTCCAGGAGAGTTCATGGATCCTTCATCCTCTTCGATGGACATGGATCTAACCTCCTACGCGAACAGGCTTACAAACGCAATGCGGTCAGTTAAACATGTTTCCACTCGACCACAATCAACTGATGTTTTCGCTCAACCTGACTTACGATATAGTACACACGTCTTCGTACGTCGAGACTCACATCGACGACCTCTCGAATTAGCATACGAAAGACCTTTCCAAGTACTCCAACGCGAACCTAAGTACTATATAATCAATAAGAACGGAACCAACGATAGAATCAGCATCAATCGCCTTAAAGCAGCGTATTTAGAAGGAAATCCTATTCACTTGGACTTTCTTTCAGTACGATCGCACGACACGACTCCTTCCCTTATAATACCTCAATCGACAGCCGACACACACATTGATACTTCGGCGATATCAGAAAATAAGCTCAAAACAACTCGTTCTGGAAGAAGAGTAAGATTTCCAGAACATTTGAACAATTACTGCACGTAAGATGCAAGTTTACATTTTTGCTTTTGTGTATTTGTTGCATCAAAGCATACTTAATCGACTTTAACTTAATTTATGTAGTTGAAGTTTGTGTTCTTTACACATCCAGTTTGTGTGAAATTTGTAGTTGATTTTGAGATGGTTGGCTCTTCTCACAAATGTGAACGGCCTTATTGCATATTCCCTGTGAAAGAAGGAATGCAATGTGATGAGTGTTAGATGTGATAACACAAGATGTGTCCCACTGCATATAAAAGGTTCTGTTATGCTTCGATAAGAATAATTAGTGGTATTTTTTGGGATGCATTGTGGGTCAATACTATGCGTATATTTTTCTCGTATAATTGTCAATTAACTAAACTATTCTTATCGATTAAATGTTTAAAAGCTCCATGGCAATATCGATTATATATTTGTATAGATACGTTTTTAAGTTGTGTTGTAACCGCTCGTTTTCTGGCTGTTGCGAAATACTCTAAAAGGAGTCGAATAAAACTGTTGGAGACTTTATGGAAAGTTCTATAGTCAAAATGTCCAAAAATGCTAGTGCAAGGTTCCCTCGGAAGGCAATTTTTTCGCACTTAAGATTTCAGATAATAGGGTACTTACATTCCCAGATATTTTTTGACTTGTGGTACCTTTAGTGTGCAGTTATATGCAACGTGTCTCGGATGGACTACTTCACATTTTCAAGTGTTAAAGATAAGTCCGTTGTTGCCCATCTAACGTTGAAGTCGAGTCGGATTCTTCTGAATTCCCAGGTTATCCTCCCGTTTTCAAATCTCCCCCCCAGAGTTTCACATCATCGTAGAAACGTAATAAATCTGTCGATACCTGCTGTGGACAATCGTTTCTATAATTAAAGAAATAAGGAGTTCTAGTATTGGACCTTAGGGGATCCTACAAAGACACTCTGTAGCCTGAGAAAAAGTAAAACATACTGGCCCTAAAATAAAGCAAGCTGATCTATGGACGGTGTCAAGGAAGATGAAGTATTGAACAATCCGTTTTGATTAGCGGTGCGGGCATCTCGTTTTCCGACGTCAGTATCACCATATTTCGACCGTTCATAGTGGATGTGTGGGACTTGCACTTCGTGGTTGGAACCCAAAGTCATCGAGAATATCCAACAAAAGTATGAAGACAGTTGACATCATTCCATCATTGTTACTTCAGTGAATGAACTTGTAATTGTTGAATAAATAGATCGCTGTATCAATGTTCACTCACTGGTTCTGCTTTAGCAGTTGAAGATAGTTGGTCATACTATAGTTCATTCTGTATAAATAAGTTTTCATTTCCACCGCGTTAAGTGGTGACTTAATACATAACCGTTTGAGCCTATTGATGGAACACATATTATTGCTCCCATCGAAAGTTTTCAAGAAGTCAGGATGTAATACCTCAACCTTCCTCTTGCGATCAGGGTTGATCGGCCATCTATCCACTACAGTTAAAATGATTGTTATGCAAAAGTGGTCCATCCTGAAACCATGATGTTAATGTAAAGACAAGTTTATGGATAACAACTAGTTACGTAGACTATCACATATCAAGGACTCCATAACTTTTTATGACGTTGAGAGAAGCGCTACTGGCCGGTAGCCTTAAGACTCAACGCGTCAACTGCGAAAACCCAGTTTTGACTTCTCTAAGGGAGGCTGCATTACAGAATAAGCTCTGGAATTCGAGACTAATTCTTCAATCAGCTTTATTTGATGCTGAAGTTTTCCGAACTGGAAGAATGAGATCTTTTATGACTTTTTTTGGGACCGCATATAGGACACATTGGTTTGTAGCATGTTTCATGAAAAAAAGCCGTAGCACTCGTCCCACTGCGTACCATAGGTGACAGTTAAACTGCAACCAGGTCACTAACATGTGATCTTAGTGACCTTAGTGAAACATAACTAATCTACAAGGGTAATAGGAGGTTATCAGGCGACCTATATTGGTTTTCAAGGCATGTTGTACTTCGAAGGCCAACTTAACCTTGAACGTCACAAAAGATTGTGCTCGTTTAATCTACTCTGCTACAGAATGCCAGTAATTCATGAGTAGAAGAGGGGAACAAAACTTTAGAAGCAAATATTATGATCAACATTTTAGAATTTTATGAGAATATTTGCTTCGTAATCAGGATCAAATTGAATAAAAAGACCAGCAACAATAATATTGAAACTATTCTTCGGTGTACAGTTGGTAAAAATTATATTTATTCTTATCACCATATAAGGTAACGTAACCAGGTCGAAGTATCTCAGTTTAGTCTTATGAGGCAAGCGATAATTGGATTTTAGCATTATGATCCATGGTCACTCAGCCCGTCCTAGCACATATGCTTCTTATCTGATAGAAGGACCAGTTTCTTAAGCCATATTTTAAATGCGGTCTCATACACGGCAGGTATGAGATCCTAGGTCAACAAAAGTTTTACGAATTTTTAAAAAAACATACGAAGTCTCCGGATGCGACCTTCCCATTGTTAACTGTGGTTCTGAGGCGAGTATACACGAACTTCTAAATTATGACAATCGGTAACCTTTGATGATCGAACCTCATTCATCATAAAGTGATATAAAGACAACGAAATGTCCCACTTAGACCATTACGCTCTTCCTGGAATTCACATCGAACGACCACTGGATCTTTCAGTCAATCAGAGTATGTCAAGCCATTACATTTGTTATATGGCCACATTACGCCAAATGTAACGACCGAACTACCAGTATTCGGGCTGAACGTAGGACTGACGAACCAAATTGTATTCGAATAGGTCAGACTACGATCTTTCGTATAGCACGCCAAGCGTTTTTGAGACACTCGTATTAAATTATATCAAAACACAAATTCTGTGCTCAATTTATACGGTTCTAATTTAAGAAATAGAACAAATTATATCAAAAATACAAAATACCTCAAACGGTTTAGCCTGTGCTATACAGTCAGAATTTTCTCTAACGCAAAGTAGTGCGCTAAAAAATAAAAGAAACAGTCAACACCAAAGGATTTGATACCTGAGAATCAACAAATATATTCCCAACAAACGGGATCTAAATATCTATCTGCAGGGATACCAGAAATCCTCCCAAGCAGACAGTCAAAGGGTTAACAGTCACACTTAATCACGCCGTGACCTTGAGCTTAGTCAAACACGACCTCACTGTCAGTAGTCCGGCAACATGCAATAAAATTAAGTAACAAAGGGATAAGTTTTCAATCAAAATTACATAATAAAGGCTGAAACGAGATATGAACAAAGGTTGAAGTATATAACAGGAAGAAGAAACAAATGAATGAAAACGTTGTCCAACAAAAAAGCTGTGTAGGGATTTTCATCGTTCTTTTTCCGTTACACCAAATGAGTCCTGTGTAAACTTGTAGTAAAGATGCTACACGTACCCAGAGTTTGACAAAGCCTTTACACGTAGCATCTTTATAATCAAAGGATTCCAACCCAGTCAAACCAGAAGTCAGAAATGAAGGGGCATATTGAGAAGCGTTTGGCTCAAGCTGGCTAATAGTTGCAAGGGATGCGTAGCACGACGTAACCATTCATGACTTGGTGCGGATGGGTGACCGAGCGCCTTCAGCTATGGTATGCCCAGTAAAAATGATGGGACTTACAGAACTTATAGAACTACCTATTTCGAGGATTTATTTACCACCAACCACATTTATAGGTTAGGTTCGGTATTCGCTTGATTTTATCTCCTAGTGACGCATAAGGTCTTATATGAATGTCAATAAAATCCTGCTCACAGGTACTAGATAGTAGATATCTTCATTTCTCCAGTCATAGAACCCTTTTGAACAGACCATATAACTCCAGATATACGTTTCCAAACTTTGTGGATTAAAAAACCTATCAGATTTGGATAATCGGAAGGTTTAAGTGAATACTTAGCTGACCGGGTTTTCGACATTTTGCGCTACTATTCGAGGTTTCCCATATTTGGTAGCAATGTCCTCTCTGAACTCAAATACACTTCAAATCAAGTATATACATAATTCGTAAGTTCCAAATATCTTTACGGTTTTATTAACACCTATCTTTTTGATCTGTAAAGGGTTGCAATGGTGACGAGCTGTCCGTTGTCAGCTAGTCTTCAGGTCATTGACCAACAAGTCCGAGAATTGTGTAGTTTCACCAAAGATCAGCCATTCACAATAAAATGGATCGACGAAGAACATGATCCCATCGTTATTTCTTCAGAAATGGAATTAAAAGAGGCGTTACGACTTCATGAGGTGAATAAAGAATGGCAACTAACAGTTCATGGTAAGTTTCTCCTGTGTACTTTTTTAAACAGTATTTTTACTATTGTTTGGGTTTCGCCTTATGTTCTCTGGCAAATTCGGTCAACTAACGTCAAATAGACATCTTTTTAGAATTTACTTGGCAAAAATGTCATTCAGAAGCTAAAATAGGCATTCTTTAGCAAATTGCCAGTGACTCGGGTGATGCTTAATAAGGTCCTACCCTTGAAAGCTTACTTTACAGCTGAGAAGTCACTGGTTTTATGATGTACTAGTCCATCAATGAAATTAAGACCGTTAAAGTGATTTGGTCAGTGTTTTCTGTGTTGTATTTTTGGACCCTGTTTTTCCCCTTGTGTATGTTGAGGCATACTGCTGCAGAGGCTGTTGCTACACTGGCTTTCCTCATCAGCATTTGCTTGTGCGTATGGAATAGAAGAGCTAGATGATCTGAGAAGTTCAAATCTAGTTGCATCTAAGCTGTCCATTGTATTCCATGCTTCCCCCAAGTTTATTTATTTAAACACATAAACATTGGTACTAGGAGGTACCTTATACATGTGCGCCACATAAATCATTCGACTTTTGTGAGGGCTAGGATATTGCCCGGGTGGCTTCCCCACAGACGCACAGGTTTTCACAATCCATTCGACCGCCAAGAGAAAGGGGGAGAGTATGCATCCTTATCTTACATCGCTCTTCATTTGGAAAGCATCTTATAGCTGTCCTTCGTGCAAGACTTTGCAGTGTAGTCTGTCGTATGAATTTCGTATGATGTTGACGATCTTCTCAGGTCGGATCATAAGGTTGACATCAAGTCAGCATTTGTAGTGTTATACAAAAGCCTTCAAGAACGTTTACTAAGGTTTATTGAAGCCTTGGCTATACGGAAATTGAAACCCCCTCTATGTGTTCAAAAACAATTTGTCCTTACACTTAGTCTACCCTGTTAATACTGATTTATTATCCAGAGTGGTAATCACATTTGTTTTTGTGTACTTTAATATTTTTCCTTTGTTATGAATTACCCTTAACCTGTCTAGTTGACCTTTTAGTTTTCATATATAAATGTTCTTAACAAGTATATGTGTGATCAGGTTGTTCGAAATGTATTGCGCAAATATATCACATAATTCTGATAAACTTCGTCTTCTCATTGCATTATCGAAATTTATCAAAAGGATTAATTGTTTTAAACTTCTCAGGTACACCATGGGGTGGAAGGTTTCATAAGTTTCTCCTATCCACTCTATCAAATGCTTTCTCATAGTATTTTGGTAGCACTAAGCAACAATGCCAGGATGTTCAGTATTCGTTTCTCCCCCTCTAAATGAAAATCGTTGCTTCAGGACTGACCTGTGTCAACATCTGAACTAAGGACAGGGAGTGAAGTAGTCGAACGCGTTGACAACTTCACTTATCTTGGAAGTCTGACCACCCCTAATGGGTTGGTGTGTGACGAAATCTCAGCACGGATTCAAAAAGCTTTTGCTGACTCACATCACCTATGGCGGAGGCGAAATATCTGTCTATCAATTAAAGGACGAGTGTACCGCGCGGCAGTTCGTTATGTCCTACTTTACGACTGCGAAACAAGGTCATTAAGAGTAGAGGATACACGCAAGTTACTAGTATTTGGTCACTGATGTCTTAGAAATATTGCTGGTATCTTCTGGGATCACCGGGTAAGTAATAGTGAGGTTGGACGCAGGGTACTAGGGGATGATGGTAAATCAATTGATGAGGTTATGAATCTTCATTGACTGAGATGGTTGGGTGATATGTTGCGTATACCTGAACACCGATTACCATGACGCGCAATGCTAACCGGTGTTAGGGATGATTGGAATAAAGTTAGGGGCGACCAAACCAAAATGTGGCATCAGTGCTTGAAGACACTAACTTCTGGTCTGAGCCATGTTGGTAGATGCAGACTACCTGGTTGGGGTCCGCGTGACTATCGTAACCAATGGTTGGAGACTCTTGGTGACATGGCTCAGAATCGATCACAATGGCGTAGGTGTATACACTCTCTGTCTTCCATTAAACCCTAAGATTAAAGTTATTTTCTATCTTACTATGAATTAGTTCTCTCTCTCTCTCTCTCTCTCTCTCTCTCTCTATATATATATATATATATATATATATATATATATATATATATATATATATATATATGAATTTCGCGTTAATCTTGTTATGCTTATGAGGTATGGGAACTTGAACTGATGCATATATGTAAGTGGTCCTAAGTTGTAGCTGACTGACTGACTTTCTTATAGTCAACGAATTTGACGTTTAATCATGAGTTCACGATTTTATTAGTTCTTACATATTAGTAGAATTGACGAAGGATTGTTTGAACGATTTCCTGTCCATATTTACAAATTCATTAACTACATCTAACGAAGACGTGAGTATTTCTGTACAATGTGTTGCCTGGATAGGCTCCTTAGATCATTATATTGAACAAAATAGTCAAAACCATCACTTATTACTGATTACTAAACTAAATGGTCATAATCCTGATGTCTAAAGTGAATAAAAAAGGATTATAAGTTAAATAACGTGAACACAATACACTTCTATATTTCGGCAAAGCACTAATGGAGAAAATCAATAATCTTAATAGAGGTATGAAATTCCGATTCGCTTGAAATTTCAAGTTTAGAAAGGTTTTTCTGTGGTTTTAAACCTGCAAACATCTCATCGGTACTTTACGTATGTTGTATTATCGCGGTGTTTGTTCGTAAATCATTTATAAAGTTTACCTGGTCTAATTCTAACTTTGCAGTTAAGCTTCATAAATTTCCTATTTAATTTGTTTTAGTATTTAATGGAGTTCCAAGTGAACCGGGTAAACCATGTCCTGGCGAAGATAGTAAGTGTTTTCATTGTCAACTGTATATTATAAAAGCATTTACTTTTCATACTGATTGTTTTTGAGAAAAATCGTATGCTTTTGAGAATATGAGTGACTTCTTTGAAGGCTCTGTTTTTTTTCACTCATTAAAATACTACCTTGAATTTAGTTTAAAACCATAATTTTCTACTTCAATATTCCCTAATAAGACCCTCCTTCAATGTTCGCACACTGATGCAGATCGGACATTAGATAGGATTAGGTACGTCCTTAGATGTCTTTTATCTGACACCTATGTTCAAGACTATAGTGAAGTACTACAAATTAGCTCTCCATCTGTTTCGTCAGAAAGCTCATTTCGCGTACGTTTACCCGGGGGCTCCGTGACATTATCTTTTTGTCATCTCCACTTATGCTCTGACAGACTGCAGCCCTGATGCGATCAAGGATGAGTTCTACCATCAACTAAGTGTTCTACAGAAAGTGCGTTTGACAGATATTGTAATGCTAGCTGGAGACAAATACAAAGGTCGTACGTCTAGGCACAGAAGAGGGTCGTTCGTATTGCCGATGGGGACTTGGTTGCAGGTCAGATTACAGTGGGCGTCTACTGCAACTGTGCGGAGACTACAGCTTATTTCTGGCTGTCACTAATTATCGGGACAGTCATCGCTGATGTGACACCTGGCGTTCTCCCTCTGCTTTTCAAGCCTGGACTCACTGGTTACATCGCTATCAGCTCTTGCTGTTGTGGTTGTGTACAAGAATCTCCTTTTAGAGTAATTGTTTGGACTCGGATCATCTGATTGTTTGCACTAATCTTATTCTGCGTTTCAGTTGCCAACAAATTCATCGTCCCAAACGGCCCGATGTCTCCAAATCGTTTGCAGCTTGTGTTACAACTAAATATCAAACCGAGCTAGGTTCAAGGGTGTCAACCCACCGGAAGGTTGACTTTCGTTATGGTTGATGATGTATTGACCATGTCTTCACTGTCCACCAAATGTTAGAATTTCGTCGTACTTATCACAGGCCAACAATCATTGTGTTTCTTGACTTCACGGCCACCTTCGATTCGTTGGACAGGATTGTTCTCTGAGATTGTCTATTGGAAAAGGGTGTGCCTGAGAAGCTTATTGACATCTTGGAAACCCTATATACAAACACCTCAGGCAGAGTGAGGGCATACACCCACCGCTCTCCACTGTTTCATTCAACCGATTGGGTTAGGCGGGGTTGCTCAATCTCACCATCCTTTTTTAACTTTTCTATCGATGACGTTCTGGAAACAATGCAGATGGATGTACGTACTGGTGGTGTGGATCTGTTGTGTAAAGAAAGACTTTTCAACTTTGAGTATGCGGATGATATAACCTGACTGTAGGATGATACCCAAGCCATGCATTCCGCACATATTCAGTTGGCAATTAGCGTCCGTCGGCATGGTATGTTCTGTGAACCTTCGAAGTGAAAACCACCGAGTTGAGGATGTTAGACGACTCTGCGTTTGATCATCGTTGTCTCCGAAGGACTGCTCACATCCAGTGGCAACACCATGTTACTAATGCATAGGTTCAGCATCTCGTGTTCGGGAACAGAGACAATAATCCAATTGGTGTCACCATCTTGAAGCATCGACTTCGGTGGCTTGGACATGTTCTACGAATGTCGTCCCAGAGGACTGCACGTCGTGCGTTATTTGCCGACTCGGGGACTGGTTGGGAAAAGCGGAGAGGTGGTCAATGTATGACATAGTTTCACGGTATGAAGCAAAACTGTACAGGACTGGCTTCTGTTGGTCCTGCACGACTCCTTGGTTGGGGTCCTAGAGATGGTGCGACAGTGACTAGAAACATTATCGGATATGGCTCAGAGTGGAAGCCGGTAGCGATCCTGCTGTAACTTTTCTTTTACTTTCTACATATAAAGTGGACGTAACTTCTTTAACTGGAAGAATTTTTCCGGGTTGTACACTTTCTAACTGAACTGTTTCTCCCATTATTATTATTATTTCACTCTCATTCACTAATTTCTGTTCGTTGTTCCTTTTATTGTACACACTTTCGTTTCTCTATCTCTTCATAACTTCATTGTCATTTTGTGGCGCGTATGTATTTGGTGCCCCCTTGTACCAGTGTTTGTGTTCAAATAGTAAAGCAATAATAATAATAATACAAAATTGCTTTGATATGAAGTTGTCCATGTATAATAACTTTAAAATATTATCTTACTTCTGATAAAATGCCTTATATTTTCACGTGTCTGATCAGCACAATCAACATTTTAAGTCAATTTAATAAGGATTTTCGTGTTAGTCTCCAAATTGCCCCAAAATGCCCTGGTACGGCCGAGGGTGGGGAGAGTCAGCTCTACCTCTCGAAATGCTGTCCCATGGCCTCGCATACAACCACTGCCAAGGAAGTCTTACTCACTGCCTTCTCATGGCGGGGGTGTTATTTACGAAATTGGGGGGGGGGACGAAAAGCGAATGTTCGGCTCTCTAACCGGGTTGTTGGACACGGAGAGTCCACCTAGGGGAGTTGGAAAACCCTGATTCCAAGCCAATGGTGCACACGGGCTCCAGTATCCCGAGGGAATAAATGGCATATGATTCGATTATTGGCCACCGGCTACCATGGGACTGCATCTCCTGACGTTGCTCCACTGCCTTGTGGATCAGACCTTTTGGTCGAAGGCTCCGGGTGTGGCTCCCTAAGAAAATCACCTGCTTCAGTTTGGGTACCCAGGCAGTATCATAGCCCACACACAAATCAAGTGACTTGTGTGACGCATATGTATCTGGTGCCCCTTTGTACCAATATATATGTGTTCAAATAAATAAATAAGTCCTCAAGGTACTAAAAACTATCCTCAAGTTCATAAAAATCACATCAATCTGAACTTCTGAATGCTTATTAGTAATTGGCTTAAATACAAATAAAGTCACTTCCATGATATGAGAAGAAAAGCATGAGTTTTAAAAATTGTGGTTAAGAAGCAAAATATAGTTTTTTGGAATTAACCTTAGCCATTTATTTTACTTCGATTGAACGTTAAACGGCATGAAAACAACAAGATGGTTTACCGGGATTTTCTGTTTATAAAATGTTCCCCGGCTAATATCAAACCAGGTGAACACTCAACTATTCAAGGCACCTGTTTACGATATCTCTACGCTTTTATTTTATGAAATTTGACGGGTATCGCAGGAACAATTACCATGTTATAATAACAAAACACTTGTTCACTAATAATCTATAATGAGGAATATAAAATATTATTCTTTAAATCATATAATTTGTAAAGAATACTTAGCATTCAGCTGGTAATTTTATACACTTATTTTTCTGGATATAATTTTTACGCATTTACATAGGTGTCCAGTAGTGCGGTTGTAAAAGCGATCAATATTACTTGATTAGATACATATGCTTTTTGGTAAGAACTCTATATACCAGTGTAAATATGTTATATTTTCGCTCTTACGGTAATAACCCAGCTATTCCTATTGCTTAGTATTTACGGTCACAGATTCACTCGACAAGGCCCCAAATCAGAACACGATTGAGCAGGAAGGAGATTATATTCCAAATAACAAGGTTAGGTGGAAGCAAGAAGCAAAAATAGGAAAACCGTTAGTATATTTATAGCTTTTTACATAAGAAGAATTTAGAAGCTTCTCCATGTATCGACTAGCGCTGATTGGATAAGAATCAGCCAATCAGCGTGCGCCAAAGCAATCGTGCATTGAGCATGCTTAAATCCAATCTATGTCCCACTAACACTTCCCCTTTGAGCAGATTCGTAGGATCTGGTGCTAGGGTCCAACTGCAACCGAGTGACTGGCCTGTGCTTTCGATTTGTCCATCGTCTAGGCAATAAAGAAGTATCACTCTTTGCTTGCACAGAAACTGACCTGTCTGTTCCAGGCGTTTTGATTTCAAAGGTGTCTAGCAGAACATCAAGAGGTAATCGATATTGAATCTCGTTGCTGGCTATCGAAGTTGCTTTCAATTGGTTAGCATGACGTACCCAAACTTCTGAGCCAACTGACACCTCATAAACCACACTCCCCTTCTTTTTCAAGATCCGACCAGCTGTCCATGTAGGATGTTTCTCACGATAGTCCATAGCAAGTACTTTTTGTCCCACCGTGAACAATCGTTTTTGTGCCCCATGATGTCGATTGAACTGATTCTCCATAGATAGGTTTCGTTGAGGCTCAAGAGCTGGCGTAGGACTGATGACATCGAAATGTGTTCGTATTTTTCTGCCAAGTAGAGCTTCTGCTGGAGAGACCCCCTTAATCGTCTGAGGGTTCGGTGTCGAGCGATAAATAAGCAGGAACCTCTCTAAGATCTCTTCGGTGGTCCCCTCCCCTTTAGATTTTTTTAGAGCATTTTTAAATGTACTCACAAAGCGTTCCACTTGACCATTTGATTGGGGATGGAATGGAGGTGTTCGGACGTGATGGATTCCGTTCTGCCGACAAAATTGTGAGAAAATTACGGACGTAAACTGTGTTCCGTTGTCACTAACTATCAATTCTGGGACTCCGAAACGACTGAATAGTTGACGTAGCTTACTGACTGTGCAGCTTGCAGTCGGGTGTTCCATGAGAAAGATTTCTGGCCACTTGCTATATGCATCAACTACCAAAAGGTAAGTTTGTCCATGAAGTGGACCAGCAAAGTCCAAGTGTATACGCTGCCACGGTGACTGTGGTATTGGCCATGATTGCAGCTCTGCTTTTCGCGGTGCTTTCGTTGCTAATGCACATTTGGTACATGAACGGGATAGCTGCTCCAGTTGAGTGTCTAAATGCGACCAGTATACATAACTTCGTGCTAATGCTTTCATGCGATTTATTCCAGGATGTCCTGCGTGCAACTGTTCAAGCACTGCTGGTTGTAGCTTCTTTGGGATTATGACACGTTCGGCAAACAGCAGGCAGTCGTCGATGATTGAGAGAGAGAGTCTACGCTGGTAAAACTTGAAGCTCTGTGGAACTGATCTTCGCGGGCCATCCTTCCAGGTGGAACTTTCTAACTTCTTGTAGAATCGGGTCTCGAAGAGTTTCTTCTCTGACTTCATCTGACGACACTGGAGTGTTTCGAATGGCATCTGCCACGATACTTCGTATTTCTGGGTCTACTGCTATGGAAGCAATGATTATATCCTCTGGTCCAGGATGCTGAACTCCAATTAATCGAGAGAGAGCGTCGGCTTGACCGATAGTATTTGTCGACTGATACTTGATATTGAAATCATAACTCAGGAGCATTGTTGCCCAGCGCTGTAGTCTATTAGCCGTATAGATAGGGATTCCATTCTTAGAACCAAAGATTGCAATCAAAGGTTTGTGATCTGTCAGTAGAGTAAATGTACGACCATAGAGCATTTTATGAAATCTTTTGACAGCGAAAATGATCGCAAGAGCTTCCTTTTCAATTTGACTGTAGTTCCGCTCGGCTGGGGTAAGTGATCTAGCAGCATGGGCAATTGTCTTTTCATATTTGTCCTGAAACACGTGAGATATCACTGCTCCAACTCCATGACTAGATGCATCAGATGCAACAACAATTTCCAAGCTGGGATCGAAGTGTGTCAAAAGAATCTTTGAGCTGAGCATTGATTTGACTCTGTCGAAAGATGCTTGACATTCTGCTGACCACTGCCAAGGTTTATCTTTTGATAGTAATTCATTCAGGGGACCTCTCACTCGATGCATTTCAGGCAAGAATGTGCTATAATGACTGATTAACCCCAAGAAGTATCTTAATGAAGAGATATCAGTTGGTGCAGGCATCTTCTGAATGGCTTCGATGTTGGCAGGGTCTGGTCGGCGACCGTTCTTATCTAAGATAAAACCAAGGTATTTGATGGAATGCATAAAGAAAGTACACTTTTCCTCACGTAGTTGGAAACCATATTCCAACACTCGGTTAAGGACTTGATGTAGTCGATCAGAAAGTTCATTGTCAGTTGAACCCATAACTATGATATCATCTAGATAAGCTGCTGTACCAGGTATACCTGTTAGCATCGTATCCATTATTTGCTGAAAGATGGCAGGTGCAGTCTTGATGCCAAATGGTAGACGGGTGTATTGAAATAACCCTCGATGAATGTTAATGGTCAAAAGCTCTCTACTGTCTTCATCTACTTCTACTTGCAGATAGGCATCGGAAAAGTCTATTTTCGCGAAACATGTCCCACCATTAAGTTTGGCAAACAGGTCTTCAGGAACTGGTAACGGATATTGATACACATCTAATGCAGCATTTAAACCGGTCGAGAAATCGGCACATATGCGTATAGTTCCATTCGCCTTCCTAATCACTACGATCGGTGCGGCCCATGCAGAGTAGTTGACTGGTTGGATTACACCAGCCTGTTGCAAGCGATTAAGTTCCTGATCGACTAACTCAAGAGCAGCATATGGTACAGGACGTCTAGGACGAAAAATAGGTTTGGCATCTGGTTTCAGTGGTAAATGAGCTTTCATCTTGGTACAGTGGCCAAGGCTATTCTGAAAAACAGAGGCAAACTTTCTTTTCAGTTTTTCTAGTAACCTTTCACCTGTCTTCTTTGCAAGTACTGGGGTGTCTAATGATGAACACAATACGTTGCAGACACTGTTAATCGGTACATCCATTATTCCAAGTTTATCTAACATATCTAGACCAAGAAGATCAAGGTTTGGCCGTTCTGTTAGGTAACATATTCCTGTACAGTTAGTTCCATTGAAGGAAAATTCACACTGTAATTCACCAACCAGTTTTAGCACACCACCTGATGCGTTTTTGGCCGTTTTCTTAGATGGCTTCATTGGCGGTTTACCCAGCAAGTTATACGTTTCTTTAGATACTAAGGTGATATCTGATGCCGTGTCAATTTGAAGACGAGCTGATATGCCGTTTATCTGGATGGTAACATACTTTCTCCGAATGTCATAGTTTGTTTGAAAGGCAGCTACCAAAGAAAGAGATTTAAACTCGGCTGATTTCACATGTCGAGAACGTTTATGCTTCTTTTTGGGATGAGACGTACGATTCGGTGGACAATGACCTTCTTTATGTCCACGTTTGCTGCACACCTGACATATATGCTTTTTAAATGGACAGAATCGTACATAATGCCAATCACCACATAACCAGCATGCAGTCGTTCGTTTATTACGAGTTGTTATCGGCTTCTTAACTTTTAACCTAGTAATAGCATTGACACTACTGCAGGTTAAATTAGGATTTACCTGTTCAATCAACTTGTTGTCGTGTCTGATGCTTTGTAGCCGCTTACACTCATCTGTCAACGTTTTGAGTGTGACGTTTGGGTCTTGATCCAGTCGAGCCAAAAGTCTAGTCCTGATCTCAGCATCTTGTGGTGACTGAAGAGCTTTGATGAATATTAGGCATTTAAATTGGTCTTCTGTCAACGAGCGTAACTTGAACCGTTCACATTCTCTGTTGACGATGTCTGCTAAAACACCATATTCATCGGCTTCGCGTTTCACCAAATTTAGACACTGATGTCGAATACTAAACAATGAGGAGGATTTACCGAATATCTCTGACAATTGAATTATCGTCTCCTCGAAACTGAGCTCTCGAGGTAACTTAGGCAATATATGGTCAGCATAGCGTGCATGTTCATTAATTCCTAACTTACGTACCAACAGTCGAGTGTTCCACGCGTCGTCTTGGTTACAGAATTCTATTCTAAATGTATCTTCCCAACGTTTGAACCACGTGAGAAAAGTATTTCCGCTTTCGGGATCATAGATGAATTCTGGTATGCTGCTAGCAACTGCATCACAAGACGCACTTGAAATGGCATGTGAACTCGAGCAGTGGAAGCTAAGCTGTTGAGTCAGAGTCTCTAACAACCGCATTTGTGCATTTAATTGTTGTTACTGTTGTTGTAGTATTCGGTTAAGCTGGTCATCTGATATGGACATATTGAATTTATTTTCCTTTTTCCCCGTCGCCACTGTTATATTTTCGCTCTTACGGTAATAACCCAGCTATTCCTATTGCTTAGTATTCACGGTCACAGATTCACTCGACAAGGCCCCAAATCAGAACACGATTGAGCAGGAAGGAGATTATATTCCAAATAACAAGGTTAGGTGGAAGCAAGAAGCAAAAATAGGAAAACCGTTAGTATATTTATAGCTTTTTACATAAGAAGAATCTAGAAGCTTCTCCATGTATCGACTAGCGCTGATTGGATAAGAATCAGCCAATCAGCGTGCGCCAAAGCAATCGTGCATTGAGCATGCTTAAATCCAATCTATGTCCCACTAACAAAATATTACTAGTCATAGAAATGGTTTATGCGGATAATATTGTCTTATATCATCCGCATAAACCATTTCTATCACTAGTAATATTTACACTGGTATGACATTCTGGAAACAGCTCTGACGGATGTAAGTAATGGTGGTGTGGATCTGTTGCCTGGAGAAAGACTTCTCGACCTTGAGTATGCGGATGATATTGTTTTACTGTGCGAGAATGCCCAAGCCATGCAATCCGCACTTAATCAGTTGGCAATCAATGTCCGTAGGTATGGTATGTGCTGTGCACCTTCGAAGTGCAAAGTACTTCTACAAAATTGGCAGGATTCTAATCCTGGATGGTGAGCAGATAGAAGTAGTCGAGAAGTTCGTGTATCTAGGTAGCTGCATAAGTGCTGGTGGTGGTGTGAGTGATGAGATCAATGCACGTATAGTGAAAGCCAGAGCGGCTTATGCCAATCTGTCCATCTTTGGCGCCTTCGTGATGTTAGTCTGGCTGTAAAAGGTCGGATCTACAACGCGTCGGTGAGAGCAGTTTTGCTCTATGTTTGTGAAACCTGGTCTCTCCGAGTTGAGGATGTTAGACGGCTCTCTGTGTTCGATCATCGTTATCTCCGAAGGATTGCTGACATTCAGTGGCAACACCATGTTAGTAATGCAGAGGTTCGGCATCGTGTGTTCGGGCACAGAGACGATAATTCCATTGGTATCACCATCTTGAAACACCGACTTCGGTGGCTTGGACATGCTCTACGAATGTCGTCCCAGAGAATTCCTCGTCGTGCATTATTTGCCGACTCTGGGACTGGTTGGAAAAAGCGGAGAGGTGGTCAGTGTATGACATGGTGTCGTGGTATGAAAGAAAGCTGCAAAGGGCTGGCTTCTGTTGGTCCTTCACGACTCCCTGGCTGGGGTCCTAGAGATTGTGCAACACAGTGGCTAGAGACGTTATCAGATATGGCTCAGAATAGAAGCCAGTGGCGATCCTGCTGTAACCTTCTTTTACTTTCTTCATAAAGAGTGGCTATATCCTCCTCAAATGTAAGATTTCTTCTGAGTGTACCTTTCCGTTTCCCCCCATTATTGTTCTTTTTTTATTTTATAATCCCCTACGTTCCTTACTTTTTTTTCCCTTCTTAAATTCCCATTGTTTTGTGTGGCGCATATATATTTGGTGCCCCCCCCCGTACCAATATTTATGTGTTCAAATAAATAATAAATAAATGAATAAGAAATGGTTTAAGTACTTGGCTTTCAACATCTAGACCAAGGGTTTGATTCTCATTTTGTTTACCAAGGTTTGGATATTCAAGCAATATCATCAACTCCCATACGTATGGTTTGGTTAGTAGTCACTTACATTGGTATGTATGCACATATGAATTGTATTTTTATCATTTCTAATTAGGATCGGATTTACCACCTACAGGTTTTGTAATTTGTTGGTTTGAGGCTATAATTTGTTGACTTCGCTTATTCGCTACTCTCTTATCTTCTTATGTTTTGTTTATCAGTTAATATGTATCGAAGAGGTGCTAAACGATGGAAAAAGAAATTTTATTTATTGCATGGTCATCAGTTTGCTGCCAGACGATTTAATCGGGTAAATTCACTAGTATTTTTGGGGATTTCTTTTTGTCAGTTACCAACATGACACAGCTCATAATGGATCTCACTTTCTCAGATTTACTAAATCTTTATCTTCCTCTATATCTTAATTTTTAATATTCCCTAATATATAGTTTTTGAAATAATATTCCCAGTGTATTATCCTTTAACCTTTGGGTTTCGTCTTGTTAATTCCACCACATTGTGCTAATATAGTATGGCACCTTGGCCCAGAATCTATATTATGATTGATTATCTTTCCATGAAGATGTTTCTGTTATAACTAATACCCGAATAAAATTTTTATGAGTGTCTTATTGATTGTGTTGCACTTACTCAAATTTATACACATGTCTAAAGATTCCCAGGGCATTGTCATTGCAGATAACAAAAGTCATTGTCTTTGATTGTAGTGATATCCAACAATTGATAAAATTAGCTATTTTTTGGTCCCAACTTCCCGATGATTCAATCTATTATTCAGAGATTCTTTATTATCTAAAGGTTTAAGTAAATAAATCGGGCACATCAGTAGTCATCGATCAGCTAGTTCGTATTATTGCATTTCATCAATCTGTCTGTATAGCAGTCATTTATTTAAAAAATTGCAAACTCTGTTTCTCCACAAAATCACTCTTCATAACACCATCCAGTAAGTAACATTGTCTCTTCAGGAGTGTCTTCGAATGATGGTGACATTTGTATCTTTCTATGTAGTGTATTACTCTTCTTTAGGTTACTTCTTTTTTATCATTTAGCGTCCCAACAAAGGATGTTGTTTTAAAAGAGAAATTCGCCATGACTATTCACATATTCAATGGGTAATAGAAACATTTTGACCGACCGAAATAAATTACTCTCGTCTAGCCAACAGGTATAACTTGCTTTATGCCATTTTAATTAATATATGTCTTTCGTTGTTTTTCTCATTTATCTTAGAATGCCGTATGTGCTTACTGTAAGGAACGTATATGGGGTTTGGGACAACAAGGGTTTAAATGTATTAATTGTCGTCTTCTGCTTCATCGTCGTTGTCAAGGTGGCGTGCGTCATAAATGTGGTGAAGCATTTATTCGACCGACCTATCAAAATATGCGTTCAATCTCTACATTTTCTACCGGTTCCACTCCTATTGTGTGGGATAATAATGGAAACAGACCTACAACCATAGCAACAGATCTATCTTCTGGAACAAGTAATACACTCCCATCTCGTCTTCCTGTTACTATTCAATCATACAAAGATGATTCAACGCCACCGAAGCAAGAAAAAACCATTGGTTTAAGTGAAAAAGAATCAAATCGTAAGTTCTGAGTCTTGAAAATGATTTTCTTCACAAATTGACATCAGTTGAGAAGTCATGATGGAGCGATAACCATTTAGTAGATAATTCATCGTAATTCAAGATCCACTAATAATCACCTACGTCCATACGTGGAATCAAATCCTAGACCAGTCTGTATATTATAAGCGACGTAGAGTTTGATATAAATATGCGTCGATCTAAGTTGCCATACTTCACATTAGAACAACAAGGGAAAAATTAACGAAATAAACATTAACAAAATTAATAGCAAAAGACTAAGTGATAGGGAATACAATATTAAAATATATGAAATAATATTACAACTCATAATTTAAAGGGAAATAAAGAATGGAAAATTTCGCTGTATTACGTCCGGTTTTGTGTCGCATCGTCTAGTCTCCAACCATAGATACTGGATTATCTTGTGAATTACAACTAGAAACTAATTATCAGAGCAGTCGCTCACACTGTAGTACCACCATCTTGAAAAAATCTATATTGCAGTCGGCTGCTCTTTCTCGCTCTTCAATTTAACTATGACCACCGTAAATTCATTGGTAGTTGAAGGCCCGGCAGATGCGTCCTGTGGAAGCTGTTGATGAGTAGTGAGTAACTCAAACTTCAGGGTAGTTGCGTTGCTCTTTAATGACTATCACGAAATTTGAAAACGAATAATGTACCCTTATATATATAATCTTAGATGTTACTTCAGATATGTTCCACCTTATTCTTTTCAGAAACATCAGACAAACACTTTACGCCAACACCCAATATAAAAAATAATGTAAGTATTTTCATTAAAAATTCCATAAATTCGTGCTATCTTGGTTCCGTACCTATCACATCTGTTTATTTGTCATGATAAAATAATAATTACTTTTAAGGAAAAAATTGTATATTTTTTCGAACCTATTAATTATGATAGTGCTAGCTAATTCTTGTATAAATGTATTATCCCCTAAGAAAAATACTGTAGAATCATATATGGTGATGTTCTATGCAATTCTTCACTCAAAATAAATAATAAGGATAATAATATTGTCAAATATTTCTTTACTCGAAACATGCTCTGCTGTTGTAATTAGCCCTGACCGTTGTTGCTACCTTGACGTGGTGGTCGGGCTTGCCTATCGTGATGAAGCAACTGAGCTATACTGGCTGGAACAACCGTTCCTCAAGGTCCTATCATGCCAGACAGGTCGGTTGAAGAGCGGTAAGACTAAAAGCAACAAAACCAAGGTCCGAAGGCGAAGTCGTACTGCTGACTGTACAGAGGTGTGACAGCAGTAAGGTGTTTCCTTCAGACAACCAGCATAACAGCGATGCTGCCTTCCCGAAAGGAAGAGTGGGGTTAGAAAAGGTCGACCCTAAAAATGCACACCTCGCCTTATCCCACGGATATCCGTCTCCGGCGGTAAGGACTCAACAAGTACGGAGCTAACACTAAAACTACTCATAAAAAGGTCGTGTGTGACCGACCTCAAGCAGCTGTCCCTTGGGCACTGCGGTCACGCTCTCAGGTCACTATGACCACCTCTAATCCAATTTCCTTTTCAGGTACTTCCAGCAGAACCCTTCCACGGTGTGGGCAACCGGGAAGTGATAACCGCCCTTATATCTCTAACAGCACTCAAGACCACTGTATTCATAATCAAACTCCCTCTTCAATTCCTATTATTCCTCCTACATCGACTTTATACAATAAACTTCCTCTTTTAGCTTCCTCCTCAAGTGTCACCAAAGCCAACGATTCTAGTGCGCAAAACACTGTCCCAGGTCTACTGAAACCTCGCTCCAAACTATACATTGGAGCCTTAAACGTACGCACACTATGCCAAATCGGTCAGCAGGCTTCCTTGGCCTTCCTTGACCTCACCTCGGCAAAACGGAGAGCCAACGAGATACACCCTCCGTGTATCTGGCGACCCGATGGCTAGTTCTCGTGGACTTGCAGGTGTAGGCATAGCACTTAGCATGAGGGCGGAACAAGCGCTATTAGAGTGGATCCTCGTAAACAGTCGTCTATGCGCTGTTCGGCTAAACGGCTCGGTAAGAACTCTGAAGGATAAGGACACACGTCGTTGCCTTTTCGTCGTTTCTGCTTACGCTCCCACTGACTGCAGTTCGGATGAAGTGAAAGGTGAATTTTACAAAAAGCTGTCTGAACTTCTTCAGAAAGCTAAACGTTCAGACATAGTACTCGTAGCAGGCGACTTTAATGCCCAGGTAGATAGCTTAAACGAAACAGAAAGATATTTAGGTGGGTATTTTAGTATTCCGGCACAGAGAACAAATAATGGTGATCGTCTGCTGCAGCTTTGCTCAGACAATCGTTTATTTTTAGCAAACACAAATTTTAAGCATAAGGAGAGACATCGTCTAACATGGCGACTCCCTGCACCAAACCAACGATGGACTCAAATAGACCATATTGCCATCAGTCATCGTTGGAGAGGGTCAATAGAAGATTGTCGCTCATTCTGGGGTACCTGCTTGGACTCTGATCATGCCCTAGTACAAGCACGCATCTGCTTGCGCCTCACTGGACGCAAAAGAGCCACACAAAAAAGACTCATTAGAACCGAATTGAGTAATGAGAAAGCCAAAAGTAGGTTCCAGGAACAACTGAGGTCACACTTAGGTGTTTCTGAAAACGAGACTGACCCCGATGTTGCTTGGAAAGATATACAAGCAGCTGTGGAAACAGCAGTGACATCTACCAGTGATTTAAACCACAGGGTTACAAAGAACCAATGGATTTCTTCAAGGTCTAGTGCACTGGTCGATTGGCTTAAACTCATCCCATCAGGTTCTGAACACGATGAAGAGCGTAAACAAATCAGATCTAGGTTAAGCAAAAGTCTAAAGAATGATCGTGAGCAGTGGTGGGCAACGAAAGCAAAAGAGATGGAAAAGGCGGCGGCTATAGGTAACACCAGACAACTCTTCGGACTCATAAAAGAAACTAGAACTAAAAAGTCAAGTGTAAGTCAGACTATTTCGGAAAAAGACGACACTCTCATCTGCTCCCAGTCCAGACGTTTAGAGCGATGGGCGGAACACTTTAAGGAGCAGTTTAGCTGGCCTTCAGCATTTCTACGACTACCCACCATTCCCAGACAATGTGAATGGAACATTGAAGTAGGTCCTCCAAATCTAGCTGAAGTTGAAAAGGTTATAACTAATCTGAAACGAGAAAGGGCAGCTGGTCCAAATGGATTGGCTCCAGAGGTCTTTAAGAATGGTGGTCTAGTTTCAGCGATTAGGTTGATTAATATTTTAGCTAAAATCTGGGAGTTAGACTTCATCCCATCTAACTGGTCACAATCACTTATCGTCCCAATATTTAAGAAAGGGTCAAAATCATCCTGTGACAATCACAGAGGGATTAGTTTGACTAATATAATATCTAAAATACTAGCTTCGATAATTATCGGACGCCTAACTAAGACTCGTGAACTGCAAACACGTGAAAATCAGGCTGGCTTCAGACCTGGTCGTGGATGCATCGACCACATATTCACCATTCGTCAGGTTCTAGAACACAGGCATACTTATCGGCGTCCGACAATAGTGGTCTTCCTTGATTTAAAAGCAGCTTTTGACTCTGTTGACCGAGAGGTTCTGTGGCAGTGTCTGTCATTGAAAGGCGTACCTCAGAAGTACATAAACCTTGTGAAGGCTCTTTACTCGAACACTACTAGTCGAGTCAGAGCTTATGGCGAACTGTCATCTGCTTTCGCAACCTCAAGTGATGTCCGTCAAAGCTGTCCACTTTCTCCATTTTTGTTTAACTTTATCATAGACATCCTGATGGAAATAACGCTCTCATCGACTGAATTTTCGGGTATTGATCTCCTACCAGGAGGTCCACTTATTGACTTAGAATACGCAGATGACATAGTCCTGTTTGGTGAAGACGCTGATGAAATGCAGAGTCTTTTGGTAGCACTGAGCAACAATGCCAGAATGTTTGGGATGCGCTTCTCTCCCTCTAAATGCAAGTTGTTGCTTCCGGACTGGTCTGCATCAACACATGAACTAAGGATAGGGAGTGAAGTAGTCGAACGCGTTGACAACTTCACTTATCTCGGAAGTCTGATCAGCCCTAATGGGTTGGTGTGTGACGAAATCTCAGCACGGATTCGAAAAGCTCGCTTGGCCTTTGCCAACTTGCGTCACCTATGGCGAAGGCGAGATATCCGTCTATCAATTAAGGGACGAGTATACTGCGCGGCAGTTCGTTCCGTTCTACTATACGGCTGCGAAACATGGCCTTTAAGAGTAGAAAATATTCGTAAGTTACTAGTATTTGACCACAGGTGCCTTAGAAATATTGCGGGTATCTGCTGGGATCACCGGGTAAGTAATAGTGAGGTTAGACGCAGAGTATTAGGGAATGGTGGTAAATCAGTTGACGAGGTTATGAATCTTCATCGACTGAGATGGTTGGGCCACGTGCTGCGTATGCCTAAACACCGATAACCACGACGCGCAATGCTGACTAATGTAGGGGATAATTGGAAGAAAGTTAGGGGCGGCCAAACCAAAACGTGGCATCAGTGCTTGAAGTCACTAACTTCTGGTCTGAGCCATGTTGGAAGATTCAGACTGCCTGGTTGGGGTCCGCGTGACTATTGTAACCAATGGTTGGAGACTGAGTGACATGGCTCAGAATCGATCACAATGGTGTCGGTGTATACACTCTCTGTCTTCCTTAAATTAAGAGAATAAAATCGCTTCATATCTTTCTAGGAACTAATTCTTTCTTCCTGTACTATCTCCTTATACACACTTTCTTCTATATATTACCACCACTGAATTCACTACTTCTATGAATCCGGTGTTCATCTTGTTGTGCTAATGCGGTATTTCAACTTGGACCGATGCATATTTGTGCGTGGTCCTACGTTGCAGCTGACTGACTGACTGACTGTTGTAATTAGCCTTCCTTCTACGACATATACAAATACTATTTTCGTTGATGGATGGTATTACATAGGGTTACATTTGAAAGGTAATTCGTAAAATAAGGCACATCTACTCAAAATATTCCATGAATTAATGTTTTTAATCCCCGTTTATTTTACTTATGCTAATTTATTTTAGCTCAAATCAGGTTCAGACAACTTAATAATTGAACCAAGTGGTGGTGTTCACCCTAGTAGTGTATCAGTTCCCGTTTCTATCATCACTGATAAAGTTGATGACAAGTCCATACCAATCATAGAACAGCGCATTATAGATATTCCTGATATTCCAATCACTTCTGGACGGGTTGGTTTACATGATTTCAATTTACTCAAAGTGATTGGTCGTGGTAGTTATGCTAAAGTATTTCAAGTAGAGCATAAACCAACTAATCGTATATATGCAATGAAAGTTATTAAAAAAGAAACTATTCTTGATGAAGAGGTATGTCTGGTTTGTGTTTTCGGTAATTTAACAAATGCTTTTGGACTAACGGTTTTCCATACTTTTTGCAAATATGTAGAACTAAAGTCACTAAATATAGACTTAGTTTTAACAAATGTTTATTCATCATTCTCTGGCAGTGGTTGTATGCATATGACCATATGAGAGCATTTCGAGAGGGATAGTATACTCTCCCCACTCTCGGCTGTACCAAGGCATTTCGGGGCTGTCAGAGTTTCGACTTTTATACATCGAACCTGTGACTATCTAGGTTCATTAACTATAATATATGTAAAAATTAGACATAAATCGATCTTCATCGCTTTACATTTTTCTGGTTCCATTATTATCTATGACTCTTTCTGTGATATATTAATTCACATTAACTAGACAGTATATGTAAAACTCGTTTTTCTCATACTTCTAATACTAGGATATTGATTGGGTTCAAACAGAAAAACATGTATTTGAATGCGCTACTAACCATCCATTTTTAGTTGGTTTACACTCGTGTTTCCAAACTAGAAGTCGGTAAGTTTCTTAAATCAATATAACTCATAAAACTTGTATTTTGTAACCTTATAGATTGCCACTATTGTCTAAATGCTGTACGGTTTTATGGAGAAAACTATCCTAAAGAACATTTTATTAATACTAATTATAAGGGTCTATGTTTTCCGATCGCTAATATTTAAGATTACATTTTCCCCTTTTTTGTTGATATATGAACCCCTATAATGGATATGGTGACATGAATTTTCCATATAGTTGAATTAGTCCTATCGAAATTATTTTTTGAATGTGACCTTGTTAAAAAGCATTTTCTTGATTATCATTGCTGATTTATCCTGACCGTTGTTGCTACCTTGACGTGGTGGTCGGGCTTGCCTATCGTGATGAAGCAACTGAGCTATACTGGCTGGAACAACCGTTCCTCAAGGTCCTATCATGCCAGACAGGTCGGTTGAAGAGCGGTAAGACTAAAAGCAACAAAACCAAGGTCCGAAGGCGAAGTCGTACTGCTGACTGTACAGAGGTGTGACAGCAGTAAGGTGTTTCCTTCAGACAACCAGCATAACAGCGATGCTGCCTTCCCGAAAGGAAGAGTGGGGTTAGAAAAGGTCGACCCTAAAAATGCACACCTCGCCTTATCCCACGGATATCCGTCTCCGGCGGTAAGGACTCAACAAGTACGGAGCTAACACTAAAACTACTCATAAAAAGGTCGTGTGTGACCGACCTCAAGCAGCTGTCCCTTGGGCACTGCGGTCACGCTCTCAGGTCACTATGACCACCTCTAATCCAATTTCCTTTTCAGGTACTTCCAGCAGAACCCTTCCACGGTGTGGGCAACCGGGAAGTGATAACCGCCCTTATATCTCTAACAGCACTCAAGACCACTGTATTCATAATCAAACTCCCTCTTCAATTCCTATTATTCCTCCTACATCGACTTTATACAATAAACTTCCTCTTTTAGCTTCCTCCTCAAGTGTCACCAAAGCCAACGATTCTAGTGCGCAAAACACTGTCCCAGGTCTACTGAAACCTCGCTCCAAACTATACATTGGAGCCTTAAACGTACGCACACTATGCCAAATCGGTCAGCAGGCTTCCTTGGCCTTCCTTGACCTCACCTCGGCAAAACGGAGAGCCAACGAGATACACCCTCCGTGTATCTGGCGACCCGATGGCTAGTTCTCGTGGACTTGCAGGTGTAGGCATAGCACTTAGCATGAGGGCGGAACAAGCGCTATTAGAGTGGATCCTCGTAAACAGTCGTCTATGCGCTGTTCGGCTAAACGGCTCGGTAAGAACTCTGAAGGATAAGGACACACGTCGTTGCCTTTTCGTCGTTTCTGCTTACGCTCCCACTGACTGCAGTTCGGATGAAGTGAAAGGTGAATTTTACAGAAAGCTGTCTGAACTTCTTCAGAAAGCTAAACGTTCAGACATAGTACTCGTAGCAGGCGAGTTAGACTTCATCCCATCTAACTGGTCACAATCACTTATCATCCCAATATTTAAGAAAGGGTCAAAATCATCCTGTGACAACCACAGAGGGATTAGTTTGACTAATATAATATCTAAAATACTAGCTTCGATAATTATCGGACGCCTAACTAAGACTCGTGAACTGCAAACACGTGAAAATCAGGCTGGCTTCAGACCTGGTCGTGGATGCATCGACCACATATTCACCATTCGTCAGGTTCTAGAACACAGGCATACTTATCGGCGTCCGACAATAGTGGTCTTCCTTGATTTAAAAGCAGCTTTTGACTCTGTTGACCGAGAGGTTCTGTGGCAGTGTCTGTCATTGAAAGGCGTACCTCAGAAGTACATAAACCTTGTGAAGGCTCTTTACTCGAACACTACTAGTCGAGTCAGAGCTTATGGCGAACTGTCATCTGCTTTCGCAACCTCAAGTGATGTCCGTCAAAGCTGTCCACTTTCTCCATTTTTGTTTAACTTTATCATAGACATCCTGATGGAAATAACGCTCTCATCGACTGAATTTTCGGGTATTGATCTCCTACCAGGAGGTCCACTTATTGACTTAGAATACGCAGATGACATAGTCCTGTTTGGTGAAGACGCTGATGAAATGCAGAGTCTTTTGGTAGCACTGAGCAACAATGCCAGAATGTTTGGGATGCGCTTCTCTCCCTCTAAATGCAAGTTGTTGCTTCCGGACTGGTCTGCATCAACACATGAACTAAGGATAGGGAGTGAAGTAGTCGAACGCGTTGACAACTTCACTTATCTCGGAAGTCTGATCAGCCCTAATGGGTTGGTGTGTGACGAAATCTCAGCACGGATTCGAAAAGCTCGCTTGGCCTTTGCCAACTTGCGTCACCTATGGCGAAGGCGAGATATCCGTCTATCAATTAAGGGACGAGTATACTGCGCGGCAGTTCGTTCCGTTCTACTATACGGCTGCGAAACATGGCCTTTAAGAGTAGAAAATATTCGTAAGTTACTAGTATTTGACCACAGGTGCCTTAGAAATATTGCGGGTATCTGCTGGGATCACCGGGTAAGTAATAGTGAGGTTAGACGCAGAGTATTAGGGAATGGTGGTAAATCAGTTGACGAGGTTATGAATCTTCATCGACTGAGATGGTTGGGCCACGTGCTGCGTATGCCTAAACACCGATAACCACGACGCGCAATGCTGACTAATGTAGGGGATAATTGGAAGAAAGTTAGGGGCGGCCAAACCAAAACGTGGCATCAGTGCTTGAAGTCACTAACTTCTGGTCTGAGCCATGTTGGAAGATTCAGACTGCCTGGTTGGGGTCCGCGTGACTATTGTAACCAATGGTTGGAGACTGAGTGACATGGCTCAGAATCGATCACAATGGTGTCGGTGTATACACTCTCTGTCTTCCTTAAATTAAGAGAATAAAATCGCTTCATATCTTTCTAGGAACTAATTCTTTCTTCCTGTACTATCTCCTTATACACACTTTCTTCTATATATTACCACCACTGAATTCACTACTTCTATGAATCCGGTGTTCATCTTGTTGTGCTAATGCGGTATTTCAACTTGGACCGATGCATATTTGTGCGTGGTCCTACGTTGCAGCTGACTGACTAACTGATTGCTGATTTATTGCTTAATGATCAAATCCATTTATTCTCATTTGCATATTTGAACCTTGTATTACCGAATTCAGTTTTTAAAAAGGCAAATAGTATCACTGGTTTGTTTGTTACGATATTGTTGCTCAAGACGGAGTATGAGAACCATGTACTTGGTTACTGAATTGTATTACTGTTTGATGGTTTAACCGAGTAACACCTGTTAACGAATAATTATTTGTATCTATAAACGTGTCTGTCACTCAGGATTTAAGAATATCGTTCAGTTCACTCATATAAGTTAAAAAACACATTGCTATTAATTTTCGAATTTGACTAAATCCGGGGCGATATATCATAGTATCACTGATTTTGTAATAAAACGTTATTTAATTTATTTTTAATTTTTAATTTGATGTGGATAAATCAAGTATTGATCTGCACCATCTCAATATTGATCAGTTGTTTTACGAATTTATTCTGAGTTTTTGATTTGATTTTATTCCATGATATATTTGTAGACAACAGTGAAGTCAGGTGATAATGACGGCATTTTTTATACATGCCAATTACTCGAATAATGAGTGATGTGCTTATTTTTATAGGTCAAGAAGTTATTTAACATCCTAAATAATATTTATTTATAATCTTAATAAAGTGCCTTTACATTAGTCGCATAAGTCAGTCTATATTTTACAATCATGTAAAGTGAAAGGATTTATTAAATTATTGATGCGATATACATCATATTCGTGTATTTTAGTTGCGTGTGTTGTATATGGTAATAATTCGGCATTTATTTGCAATAAGTGGTTTTATACTGATTTCATGATGACATGTCTACTTAGTAACAACTTTCTACGAGATGAATTTTTTCAAAGTTCTAGTAGCGTGCATCTAAAGTCAACCACTTCAAATAGAACTGTTAATTACTGACGAGATCGATAAAGTATTGCGATGTCACAAAGTGATAGATAGATAGTCGGACAAGTGAACTGATATACATCGACATCATGTAATATAATTTAGACAGTAGTGAAACCAAAACGGTAACTAGTCAGTTCATTGGGTTAAGTCCTATGGGGATTCAGTTTCTATTCAAATAATTCCATGTTAATATCTGTAACTGTGTTGTCATTGAGTAATGTGAGTTCGAATATCTAGAGTAGCATTATTTCAGATATTTGAAAAGTGATTTTTCTGGTTCAAATCAACAAGTGTCAAAAATAACATCTCATAAGCAAATAAAACTAAACCCGAAAATCTCCACGGTCTTTGATAATCATAAATAAATGTTGTTTGGAACAATGAATGTTGAAGTAAGAAAATATATTGTCACACCATTAATTGTTGATATTTAACTAGATTATTATCTATATCTCATCTCCCTGTATTTGTTAACACCATTGGTTATCTTTATTGTGTGTTTAGTTCATCCAGAAATTTATTTGTTTTATGTATAGATTTATGGAAAATCCCAAAGCATAAATGATATGCCAAACTAACCTTGTTCAATGAATGTTGTAGGCTTTTGAACGAAAATCCTCTTAAATAAAAATTTATGTTAACCCTATGTATAATTACATACTGAATTGTAGCTCGTAGTTTTAGACATGACAATTAAATGAAAATCAAACCGTCTATCGGTTACTTCAATAGTAAACGTCTTTATCATATACCCATACTTAATTGCCTTGTTGTTTTCCCTGGTTAGCGATTTTTTTGCAAGGGGTTGCTAATTCCATTCTCAATACTCTTTACCTAGGCTTTGGAACTGGCATGAACCCTAGGAGGGTTTCAGGTAGTGTTTTGTTATTCTCATAGATGATGGTAATTGTTTTTAGTATAATTAGTTAATCAGTGATCCAGATTTTGTGTTATACTTTATTCTTTTTATTCTTTTTTTCAAAACTAACTTATAAACAATAGGTTATTCTTTGTCATTGAATTTGTTAATGGTGGAGACCTCATGTTTTATATGCAACGTAATCTTCGTTTAGCAGAAGATTATGCACGGTTCTATGCAGCTGAAATTTGCATTGCATTGAATTTTCTCCATGAACGTGGTATTATTTACCGAGATCTCAAGTTAGACAATGTTTTGATGGATAGCGAAGGTCATATTAAACTAACTGATTATGGAATGTGTAAAGTAAGGGAAAATATTAACTTTTCCCGTTTAATGTTTATGTATAGTGTGCGCTTGATTCTAACTTGACTTTTCGATTAACAAGACGTAGCTATGCCCCCGAATGCCCTGGTACGGCCGAGGGTGGGGAGAGTCAGCTCTACCTCTCGAAATGCTGTCCCATGGCCTCGCATACAACCACTGCCAAGGAAGTCTTACTCACTGCCTTCTCATGGCGGGGGTGTTATTTACGAAATTGGGGGGGGGACGAAAAGCGAATGTTCGGCTCTCTAACCGGGTTGTTGGACACGGAGAGTCCACCTAGGGGAGTTGGAAAACCCTGATTCCAAGCCAATGGTGCACACGGGCTCCAGTATCCCGAGGGAATAAATGGCATATGATTCGATTATTGGCCACCGGCTACCATGGGACTGCATCTCCTGACGTTGCTCCACTGCCTTGTGGATCAGACCTTTTGGTCGAAGGCTCCGGGTGTGGCTCCCTAAGAAAATCACCTGCTTCAGTTTGGGTACCCAGGCAGTATCATAGCCCACACACAAATCAAGTGACTTGTGTGACGCATATGTATCTGGTGCCCCTTTGTACCAATATATATGTGTTCAAATAATAATAATAATAATAATAATAATAATAATAATAATAATAATAATAATAATAATAATAATAATAATAACAATAATACGTAGCTATACTGACTAATCTTGATCGTTTTCTATTACAGTATGTTCGAAAGATAATGTTTCGCTGCTTTCTATCACGGTCCACATCATTCAAGTCATTCAATAGGAATAAATGTATGTTTAGCGTGTTACGATTAGAAAGACTAAGTGACATTGTATTCCGTGTAACCTTTTCGAAGTAATAGTTGCTACCGACTTAATTTTGTTATGAAACAGTAAAACTTTCTTTAAACTATTACACATGTAGTTATTTTCTTTATTATTGTATCAGAGTTGATTTATTCTATTCAGTCAGTCATATACAACGTAGAACCTCGAACATCTGTACATTGGTTCAAGTTGCCACACCCTAATAACACAGTTAGATAAAACTATCAAAGAAAGTCTCAGAATTGTAGAGGTAGTAACAGTATTTTTAGTAGTCGAAGAGATTTGGCACTGACGATATGTTCGGAGAAAATATAAATTAGTAAAATAAATTCAAGGAGAATTTAGAAACTTAAGATTTAAAGGAAGATGAAGAGTGAAAACATAATTACGATCGATTCTAAGCCATATTACCTATTGTTTCCAACCATTGGTTTTGATAATCGCGGGGATGTCAATCAGGTTGTTTGCACGTATCTAAATGCCTGAGTTCAATTCACAATGAATTCATAGACTAATCTCATTTCTTGACTGGGTCACACATCTATGGTTAGTCATTCAAATCAAATGAAAAACGGGACAGATTCCTTATATTATTTAAAAAGTTGGAAAATAGGTCATCTAGAAGTTTGGACAAATCTAATGTTTTTATTTGATCTATTTGATGTGATCAGTTATCATAATTTAGTTTGTTACTTATTTCCATGATATTACTAACCTAAATTAAATGAATAGAAATGTATTCAATTAATTCCTTAATTACATTCTCAGCTAGTAAGAGTTCTAAAAACACGTACTGATGAACATATCACTTTGTGACAATTTATTCACTTTCAAAATCATATTTTGGAAGTTATGACATAGACGACGATCACTGCGTTACTAACTGATTTAAAATTATTATTATCAACTCAGATAAAACGCTGTGTCAAAATATGTATTTTATTCTACTACTTAGTTAAAGTATCTGCCTGAAGACTAAGTGATAGTAGCCAGTATTATTAACATTGATTGTACACTGCAAATTCTTCTCGTTTATTTTAAGCATATAGTACACTATTTAAGATATAAAATAAGACAATCCAACTTAATAAAGCATATATTATTAATCTTATCTAACTTATTTATTTTATAGGAAGGAATCATCGGAGATATGACTACAACTACATTTTGTGGTACACCGAATTATATAGCTCCTGAAATACTGAAAGGAGAAAGTTATAGTGAGTTTCTTTTTATATGTGAATAAAATAAACACAGTGATCAAGATAAAATAGTATGTATTCATTAATTTCACAGATATCTGAGCTTCCTACAACCTAAAAATTTTAGTAATTATTTAAAAACAGATATACATACTTTATACCATACAGTCCTTGTCAACGAAGATAAGGTAAAAAAGAATTAACTAATCCAGAAAAGCTGTAAGAGATATTCTGATAGTTGCTTATTTACATGTTAGTATTCTCCTCAAAAAGGAAAACTGAATTACACCTGAAAATAGGCCTCTAGAAATGAAAAATCAATGTCTAAAGTTATATAATAAAGCACCTTTCCAGCTGCCTCAATTTCAGTGCTTGATGTAATAGATTCATAAACAGTTAAATCTGGATATATGCAGAAATATGAAGTGAATGTTAAAATGAAGTAATTACAACGTTTCTCCTAATAGTCCGGTTCGACTGAGTTTACCCATATATGCGCGTGTTTTTTTGGAATTCACATAATAACTACAATGATAAGCATTATCGTGACTAAAGTCTTTTTGGTTTCATTTGCTCACTGCGTTCATAATCACCATGATTCTATGTACAAACTTATAGAATTATTGAGTTACAGAATGTTTCTACTTATATAAGTGTTGTTAAGCTGCCAACTAAGATTTTCAGTGATAAAAATCAATTCATATTTTATCAGTTGTTTTTGCACTCTATCAATTTTCCTCTTAATGGTATTACGTAATCAATTTTTTAAACATTATATATGAACATCTGTTTTGTATTCAATTCCTCTTTTTACTATTTCTTTTTTTCTTGTAAATACTATTTAAGTTTATTTTAGTTTCTTGACTGTGATTTGTCGAGAAAATTATAACACTATGGACTATCGTCCATCGCTTGTCCGCTGCTAGGTGATACTGACATTTACAAGTATTGAACTATTATTTGTTCTGGCATTCCATAATTTGATGTTACGCTGTTGTTCTACATTTTCTTTTTACACACTTTTTGGTTGACGTCAGTATGTAGTAAGAATTTCTAGTTAGTGTGGTCACGTTGTTAGTAATTTATCTGTCAATTTATTGCGTACTCTTTGGCTTGTACGTTATATATACCAAAGTAATCATGATAAAAAAATATTTAGGGGGTTTCTGCAATATATTAATCAGATGGCAGAAGAATAATTCAAAATATATGATTTCAAAACGGTTTGTAAAAAATGTAAATAATGTAATCCATTTATTCCATAGTTTATCATTACTACTATGATTTGAAATAGTAGTAAAAATATATTTATTTGATATTTTTTAAAATTAGGTTTTAGTGTTGACTGGTGGGCTTTAGGCGTACTTATGTTTGAGATGTTAGCTGGTCGATCTCCTTGGGAAGGTGTTGGACAGTCAGCTAATCCAGATCAAAATACTGAGGATTATTTATTTCAAAGTTAGTCATGTTTTATTTTATTAATCATAGTGGGTGTTTTATTTGGATTCTGGCATCTTTGTGAGTTGTAGTTTAATTTCCTCTGTCTAGCCGTATCGTGAATGCAATTATGTGAATCAGTTAATTTGACAATAAATGGCACCGAGTCTTACACTAGAATTTCGTTGCCAGAATTGAAAACAGTAGTTGCACCCATCATCCGATGTTTTGTAGCTGTCCTGGCTCATAGTCACACATCCAGGAGTTTGTAAGCAGAGGTGGATGGTGGCTAGCAGTGGGATCCAGGTTGCGCCTTTTGTTCTATTTGGGACTGGTCAGCTGGATACAATTATGACTTAAGGCAATATCAAGGCAATCCACACAGGATGAACACATGCCAATAATAGACTGATTGATTGCCGTCCTAAACATCAATTGGACGATTCAAACGACCAATATAAAAGTGAATTTTAGTAAGATAACTTTTGTGTTCAGTCGCGTAGGTACAGGTGGTTTTTATGGAAGCTTACAATTCTAAACGAATCACTTCAAAAAGCAGTTCAGTTGACTCAGTTAAACTATTTTTACCGAATGTTCTTGTTCTCTATGGTTGATAAATACTGACTCACGTACCAAGGTTAAGAAGGGCTTGTAGGAACATTTAAGTACTAGGTCACAGCAAGATAGCTAGCTGACTAAATCCCAAGATCTTTGTTATTATTTACCAACCTATTTGATTTTTTCATGAGGTATGATTAGTTTAAAGTTTTTCAGTATTAATAATAATGAATAAATTAGTGTTGTTCTCTTACTTCTGATCTTGTAATAAAAGGTTTAAAAATAATGATAAACAGTAATGAGGATGGGTTCTTGTTTGTTCAGTTTCTATGTGGTTTACCTTTAATATAAGACTTAGTTGATGGGGCTCTGCATTGTAACTATCTCTTAAAATTGTTTTGTCTACGTACTTTATCAACGGCTTCAGAGATTTGTTCACAAATTCACAATAGAATATAGGTATACCTTGTCGTCAACTAACAACGAGGATAGTCATGGTCACCTAAACTTCCCATATCTTTTTGATTTCTCTAGCGGTTGTGTTTTAAAGCAGCTCCATTATAGAACAAATAATAGCAGTGTAAGTCTGCTAACAGGATAAATACTCCTAAATTTAGCGTTTACGGATTATACCTCCTCTCTTTCCTACACCATACAGTCCACACAAATTACTTTTAATCACTTATTTCCCAGTGTATGAAAATATACATTGCGTTTTGTACCATCAATGTATGAGGGGATTTTAAGAAATTAGTTGTACCCTGTTTTTATCCACAATTAGTGGCGAGTTATTAAAGACAACCAAAGCTTTTTTGTATCTGTGTTGTTTCGTAATTGCTAGTGGGTATAATAAATGACATTCTGTATGCCGATCCGGGCTTTTAGCATCTTCATGACGTTAACCACCTATAAATAAAATGTCCAATGAGCGATTCGGTGGAAGAAGAAGTTTTAATCTCTGCTTTGAAACATGACATCTCTAAACTCAGGATTTCTAGTCACCGTTGTATTGAGATAACTATCCCCTTTCTGTCAGTATATGTTTTACACTAAGCTATGATTTAACATTAACCGTCATTATTGTCAGTATTCCTTTTTTTCCGGCGGGCGAAATATGTCATTTAAATAATCACATAACTTTAAAAGAATTCATCTATTTTTCTAATATGAAGTGATAATGCGCTTCAAGATCCACCAGTTTAGTAGACTTGTTTAGTTACTTCGTTACTTACACTTGTTACCCCTCATGGAGGAGCATAAGCCGCTCAACGGCATTCTCCATCCAACTCTGTCCTGGGCAATCCTTTTCATGTCTGTTTTCGATTCCCGCACAGTGTTCTTTGGCCTACGGCTTTTCCGTTCCCCTCCACAATCCCAAGTTAGCGCTTGCTTCGTGAAGCAGTTTAATGATTTCTACAATGTTCCATAATATCCTATCCACATTGTTAAATTCTTTCTCATAGTCAAGGAAGTTATGTGTAGTGACCAGATTTACTCAATTGATTGTTCAACGATGATCAGTGTTCTACCTTTTTTTCTTGAATTTCCATGATTGTTTTGCCTTCTTTGTCCTTGACCGGTCTCTCTGGTTTACTATATTTCCCTGCTAGTTTCTTCGTTGTGTCATATAGCTGTCTCATGTTTCCTTCTCTTGCAGCCTTTTCCGCCGTCATTGCTAGATCTTCCAAATATTTACGTTTGTCGGTTCTGATGCTCCCCTTCACTTGCTTGTTTGCTTCTGTGTGTTCAGCTTGTGCCTTGAATTTTTCTGTTCTTGTCCGGCTGTTGTTGATTGCTGTCTTCTTGTTCTTCCTTTCTTGAATCTTGTGCACGGTTTTTATAGAGATCCATTCCTTATGATGATGCTTCTTGCGGCACAACACCTGACACGTTGGGAAATCCTACTCACTGCCATCTCGTAGCCAGGGTATTGTTTACGAAATTGGGCGGACGAAAAGCGAATGTCCGGCGCTTTAACCCGGTTGGTGGATACAAAGGCTCCACCTAGGGAAGTTGGAAAACCCTAATAACAAACCAGTGGTGCACATAGGATTCTAATTATTTTATTTTATTTTTATTTTAACACATAGATATTGGTACAAGGAGGCACCAAATACATATGCGCCACACAGATCTCATTTGATATGTGTGAGGGCTGTGATACTGCTCGGGTGCCCAAACCGAAGCAGGTACATAGGATTCTAAAGGAACAAATGGCATATGATTCAATTATTGGTCATCGGCTACGATGCTACTGCGTTTCCTAACGTTGCCCCACTGCCTTGTGGATCAGACCTTCAGGTCAAACATTCGGGGTGTCGCCCCCCCCCCCAAGAAAACCATCTACTTCTGTTTGGGCACCCGGACAGTATCCCACCACTTACACTCATATATATTTGGCGCTTCCTTATACCAATATTTATGTGTTAAAAAAAATAAATAAACTTGTTGAATCTCCTAGAATAATCAATATATAATTTTAATTATCTTGTGAGACTTTATTGTGTCGAAGTTTTTTTACCAGTTAACTACATTAAAATGATTATATATGTTTATCATTCTGTTTAAATAGTCATTCTCAGTCGTCCAATTCGTTTTCCACGTTCTATATCTGTTCGTGCAACCAGCATACTTAATGCATTTCTCCAAAAGGTTTGTCAATTCATTTCTTATGATTATTACTATTGACTGCTTATCAATATGAAGACTGCAATTTTCTATTTTATCAATTAGCATAATATTGTTAGTTAATTTAAATGTCGTTTGCTGATTACAAAAGATTCATCTCCAAATTTTATCCAATAGAAAAATCAAACTCCGTTATCCCTTTTTATATTCATAAAGTAAATGTTGAAATCACATTTTTTGTTTTTCCAAGATTATGCTTCAACTCTAGGTAGTGAATTTATATTAAAACATTTAACTGCCAAAATTTGTATGAATTACTTACTAACTTAATTACTATACTGTTAATTCAATCACACACTTATTCTTTTACGACATTTTGTGAAATTAATTACAATATACAGTTTGGAATTTGTTTAGTCTGGTAACTATTATTTCTAGCAATAAACGTTACATTATCGAAGCATCTTTTTCTAGAAAGTCCAGTCAGTCAGACAAACACAATAGGAAACCTGGCACATTTGTACACCAATTCGAGTTGCCATACCCCATCAACACAGCGAGATGAAATCGTCAAAACAAATCCCAGTTTAGTAGGGGTATTAACAGTATTAATGGTTATAGAAAAGATTAGACATCGGAGATACTATTTTAGAAAAAAAATGCTAATTAGTGAAACAATAAAAGAACTTATGGAGAATCTAGAAACTTAGGATTGAAAGGAAGGCATTCTAGGAAGTTAAGTAAAGTTTATATTTTAAACGTATGATGAAGCATTGTACTCAAGAAAATCTACTTTCAATATTTCTCCACATATTTGTCTGAAAGTTTTTTCTAAGTCATAGTCTATTAAATTGAAAGCATACTGTGTGATCAGTGAAAATGCACTTATCACATGTACTTAATTAAATCAGTTAGCCTTACCGAATAGTTACAAATTATATGTGATATCCTTTCCCCCTAAATTTCCATCGTATGCAATATTTTAACTAAATTTTATTATTTATTTATTTGAACACATAAATATTGGTACAGGGGGGGGCACCAAATATATATGCGCCACACAAAACAATGGGAATTTAAGAAGGGAAAAAAAAGTAAGGAACATAGGGGATTATAAAATAAAAAAAGAACAATAATGGGGGGAAACGGAAAGGTACACTCAGAAGAAATCTTACATTTGAGGAGGATATAGCCACTTTTTATGAAGAAAGTAAAAGAAGGTTACAGCAGGATCGCCACTGGCTTCTATTCTGAGCCATATCTGATAACGTCTCTAGCCACTGTGTTGCACAATCTCTAGGACCCCAGCCAGGGAGTCGTGAAGGACCAACAGAAGCCAGCCCTTTGCAGCTTTCTTTCATACCACGACACCATGTCATACACTGACCACCTCTCCGCTTTTTCCAACCAGTCCCAGAGTCGGCAAATAATGCACGACGAGGAATTCTCTGGGACGACATTCGTAGAGCATGTCCAAGCCACCGAAGTCGGTGTTTCAAGATGGTGATACCAATGGAATTATCGTCTCTGTGCCCGAACACACGATGCCGAACCTCTGCATTACTAACATGGTGTTGCCACTGAATGTCAGCAATCCTTCGGAGATAACGATGATCGAACACAGAGAGCCGTCTAACATCCTCAACTCGGAGAGACCAGGTTTCACAAACATAGAGCAAAACTGCTCTCACCGACGCGTTGTAGATCCGACCTTTTACAGCCAGACTAACATCACGAAGGCGCCAAAGATGGACAGATTGGCATAAGCCGCTCTGGCTTTCACTATACGTGCATTGATCTCATCACTCACACCACAACCAGCACTTATGCAGCTATTCAGATACACGAACTTCTCGACTACTTCTATCTGCTCACCATCCAGGATTAGAATCCTGCCAATTTTGTAGAAGTACTTTGCACTTCGAAGGTGCAAAGCACATACCATACCTACGGACATTGATTGCCAAATGATTAAGTGCGGATTGCATGGCTTGGGCAGTCTCGCACAGTAAGACAATATCATCCGCATACTCAAGGTCGAGAAGTCTTTCTCCAGGCAACAGATCCACACCACCATTACTTACATCCATCAGAGCTGTTTCCAGAATGTCATCGATGGCAAAGTTGAAGAGGAATGGTGAGACTGGGCAACCCTGCCTAACCCCACTGCTTGAATGGAATAATGGAGAAAGGGGGCTGTATGCCCTCACTTTGCCTGAGGTGTTTGTGTATAGGGCTTTTAGGATGTTAATAAACTTCTCAGGCACACCCTTCTTCAACAAACAATCCCGGAGAACAGTTCTGTCCAACGAATCGAAGGCAGCCCTGATATCAAGAAACACTACGATTGTTGGCCTTTGATAAGTATGGCGGTGTTCTAAAATTTGGCGGAGGGTGAAGATATGATCAATACATCCTCGACCAGAACGAAACCCAGCCTGCTCCTCGCGAGTCAATCCTTCTCGGTTTCTGAACAACATACGAAGTATGACGGAAGCCGATAGCTTGGGCGCAATCGTAAGTAGACTTATCCCCCGATAGTTGTTTCAGGAACGACGTGAACCCTTTTTAAAGATAGGGACAACTATTGACTCATTCCATGACGTTGGTGCACTCTCTAGTTCCCAGACCTTTGCAAACAACGTCGTCAGTCCCTTAGTCAGAAAGTCACCACCATCTTTAAAAAGAGCCGGAGGTAAGTCATCTAGGCCCGGTGATTTGTAACGTTTCAAGAGTTGGAGTTTCTTGCGGACTTCCGCCTCATTTGGTGGATCAGTCATCACCGGCCATGGAGGACAGGACAGTCTGACCGACGTTGCCGGAGCAGCAGGCCAGTTGAACTGCCCTTCGAAAAATTCTGCACATCGTCCAAGAATATAATGATATAATATAATAAAAATGATGATCTTCTCTGAAAACTCTGTTTACGCTGCGATTTAACTAAATTTGTGTATCTCAGGTGCCAACTGAACGCCTTGGATGTGCGCCAAATTCAAGCTTTGGTGATATTATGGAGCACGGATTTTTCAAACCAATCGATTGGGTAGCTTTAGAAAGGAAAGAAGTTCATCCTCCCTATCGTCCAACTTGTGGAGGCGATAGAGATCTGATACATTTCGATCCTGCATTCACCGATGAACCTGTAGTGCTAACACCAGATAACGAGTAAGTGTCCAATATTTCATAAATGTTTACACATTTTTGCAAGCAATCTGCCTTATTTTTCATCTTTTTTTCGCTAAATACATTAGTATACTATAATATCACAAAAAAGTCCAATATCAGACCTCTTCCTATTTAAATCAATATTTCCAAAAAATGGTAATAGTGAATTCAACTAAACTTGAACCATTAGATTCCAACTCAGTCGTCTAAATTTTTCATTATGTTTATATGGCTTAAATGTCTTGGATTTACTCGCTGACAGGATTGCAGGCACACACTTGTGGACAGTTTGATACTACGGTATAATAACTATCTTTCACTCTTTTTTTCAACGTTTCTTCACTTGATATCAATCGGTGAATCTCCATAGTCTATTGAACTAAGTAATTTAATAATGTAAATGTAGAATGACTTACTTGACATCCATCATAGAATGGGACGTTGAGACGAGAGAGTACTCTACTATTCTAATTTTGTCGTTTATCAAAAAAGTCATGGTATTACATGTTGCATGATGATCTAATATATATAAAGATGCAAAATATATAGCAATAATAATAAAATTACTCTTATTAATAGTAAATAATTTAATTTATAACTAAATGAATGATTAATTTTACAGCGCCATTGAAAACCTGGAAGCATCGGAAGTTCGTTTCAACATAGTGCGAAACTACTCAGTAGTGCACATCAACGACCACAAGTAGTTCGGGAATCGAACTCAGGATGTACAGTCTTGCGTGCAAACGCTTAGCCTGTTAACCACTAATCTGGCATTCAACGGGATTGATTTCTAAGCTCAACCAACCCTCAACATTGAACATCCATCTCTCAATGTCTTCATTGGGTAACTATCTCACACTAAACAAGGTTGAACTCCACTGGTCGCGACTTACCCACCAAAGACAGTATAAGGTGGTCGTTCAATACCGCGGATTGTTTGAAGTTTTACATTAACATCGTTGAGTGCCGACCTAGTGGCCTAGAGGTTATGTCTTCTCGCAAGAGATCGAAGTCCTGGGTTCGATTCCAGCTTGGGGACCGTAGATGCACACTACTGGCTTTCAGGTTTCCAATAGCGATATAACATAGATCTGTTCGTGATCAAAATTACAACTCAGCAATCTCTATAAACGTATATCGATAAATGAATGATATTTTATCTATTGAGAATAAATAATAAGTTTAAAATATAAAACTATCATTATCACTTAAATTCAATATTAATTTCTTTATATGTGCGTACACATAAAAATATTAAGATGTAACTCATCATTTGATCCGCATATATCTTCCGTAATTTTTAATCAATCCTAACATAATGTATCCCGTTCATATTCTTGGTGAACGAACTCGCCTTCTGTGTATGAGTTTAACTGTAATATACAACGTTGTAAAGAATAGCTTTTCTTCTATACACTCATCTTTGTCAGTTAAAATAAATTTAGGAGTATTTATATGTAAGTATTCTAATGAAATATCCAATATATATATATATATATATATATATATATATATATATATATATATATATATATATATATATATAATATTGGAATTTTCATCCAACTGTATCATTTCTAACGATTGTGAATACGTGTCGGTAAGAAATTTTAGTTTTCTTTGTCAATATAATTTTCGAAATAAAAAAGCTCCTAAATTAATCTGTTCCTCGGTACACTTTGATTTAATCGTTTACAATATTGTTCACTTTAAGTTTTGTTAAATTTTACGCATTAGAAACATTACAAACTGATATTACTGAAGTGGTTTACGTATTTTCCAGTTTTTTTAACTGTGAGATATGACATGATAGAGATTTTAGCAATTAGGTGAATTATCGCATTAATAAAAGCGCATACATTTTTTTTTAAAAAGTGAAAAAAACGTGAATTGAAATGTATCCGTTTTTTGTCCAAGTTTCAAGTGTTGCTTTCGTTTCACATTACTTTTTAAATTATCTTCATAAACTTTAAATTACTATTTTATTTTAAAATAATGTATCATCAAAGAAGAATATGATCAGTCAAGAGTAACATGGAACTTATATGCATCGAATCAAATTGTCACAACTCTATCAGTATATCAGGGTCAAATTAACAGGATAAATCCCAGAGTAGTAAAAATATTATCAGTGGTAGTAGAACACATTATTTGTAAAAATAATAATTTGGGAAAAGATGAATGCACGACATAAAATGTATGAGTATTTTAAGACCTAAAATGAATAAATATGCAACATTTAAACCGATTTTGAGCTACGTCATCAGGTAAACCAAACCTGCTTACACAACTCAGTTCAACGTTCAATAACTTCGTGGACTGGATATTACATCTTGTTATGGTCGTCCCTAACTTTCGTCCAACTTACCTATACTACAACAAACGTTACAGATTGAGTTTTGTTGTATTTGCGAATTTAATCGACTTCATTTGTCGACGTTAAATGTATTTTTTAGTAGCTATATTAATTTGCTTCGAATTAAAATAATAATAATAATACATAAGGAATGGTGACAGCTCACTAAAATTTCCTCGAAGTCAGTCATTAGTAAGCGCATGATTACTTTCAGTGTGGGGTTGTGGCAATTGTTGAATTTCTTGGAAATCACTAACCAATAACATCAGAAAACCTAGATAACAATTGGGATTGCATATTTAACGATATTTTCGGTTGGATTAATCATTAATAAAGTTCTCAGAAGTCATGTAAGTAAATAGTATTAAAAACTAAGTGTATACATCATTTAAATTCAAGTTCATAAGTTGACAATTTCAGTACATACCAAGTGGTATTGTTAAACTTCTTATGATATCCGACAAAATGTCGGCACGGATTAAAAAAAACCCAGTTGACCTTTTCTAATTTGCGTCACTTGTGTCAGTGTAGAATACCTGGTTGGTGTTTTCGGGATCATAGTAACCAATGATAAAGACATTGTGTTACATAATTCAGAACCGTTCCTAATGCTGAAGCTGCATTAACTACTACTACCACTACTATTAAAAAAAAACAGGTGTTGCGCATGGTTCTGACGTTTAAGAAAACCCTGATGTACTTTTCAAAGTTGTCAGTGTAATTTTCAATGCGTTCATTATTGTAATCCCTATTTTTCTTACGGAAATAAAAAAAGTTGATTTTCCAATCTTTTCACTTCACAACAGGGCAGTAATGTCACGTATGGATCAAACAGAATTCGATGGTTTCGAATATGTGAATCCTTTGCTCATGTCGTTAGATGAACAAGTGTAAAAGGAATTTTCATTCTCTCCTCACCCCCCCCCATTCACCAATGGCTTGTGTTAATCTATCTACCTTCTTTTATTTCTAAATCACTTTTATTCAATACTATCACCTTATCTATTGACAAATAAATAAATAGTATTTTATATTGAATTTTTTTAGAAATTTATCGTATACATTCCTTATTATTCTATTAGCAAAATAAAAATTGTTTAAATCATTTACCAACAGTTCAATGTCGAATTAACTTAAGAACATATCAAATGTTAAAATATTTTCATCTCTTTTGATTTTAGGGTATAATTCTTGAAATATTTTCTTTTTATATAAAAAAATATTGCTTACTTCGAAGTTTACATTATTTTAAGCATATATATATATATATATATATTAGGAAAATTTATTTTGTTTATTTATTATCAAACCCGCTTACTTTATTACTCCGCGTTCTTTATCGACGAACAAATGTGTTTAATTTTTTTCTTTCTCGCTCAATTAATTCTGATGAAAATAAATGCTGACTGTATTTCTATCTTTTGTTTTTTTCTAATTTTTATTCATGTTTACTTATTTTCTCTGATGTTATAATTATGAAATGAGTTTGAAGTAAATTATCATGAAATGTTTATTGTAGGTACTGGTAAGTAGTATCAATATAATTTGAATGATAAAATGAAATACTCTTAAATTCAACACTCAATGAAGACAACTTTTTGATCACTTCTAACTACTTGCTGCTATAAAAGTATTTCGAGACATAAAACTAGATTGACCAGATTTTTTAAGTAAATAATTAATCAACTTTTTGTGCTGAATTTCTCTTTGAGATAATACGAGAATTTATTAACTATATCAGTGTTCAGTTACATAATTCAAAATTGACCTATCAAAATAATGGTTCATTCCTTTCACCGTTAAAAAACTTGCCAAATGAAAATATACTGGACACTAGAGATTATTTTACAAGACCAGTTCGTACCATTGTTAGCTATTCACATAGAATTCAATTCCAATGGACAACTTTATTGACTAGTAAGTATTCTTAAGAAACAAAATCCTTTGTTGGCCAAATCTAAGAACCTCAATACTGAGAAACTTGCAGAGTCAGACAAAACTGCCTACTCTCCTAACTCTTTCTTCTGGTGGTCGACTGGATTATAAATACCTCAACATTTGACGGAAAGCACGAAATACAATGGACAGCTTGGATGCAGCTCGACAATTTGGAGTTAGCAGGTGACCTAGCTGTTCCACTCCATACATACCGACAAATTCAGGCCAAAACAACTAATTTAGCAGCAGCCTCTGCATTAGTAGGCCTCAACATACACAAGGGAAAAACAAGATCCTCAAATGCAACACGGAAAACACCAACCAAATAACACTTGATGGAGAAGCTGTGGAACAGGTAGGAACGTTCACGTACCTGGTCAGCATCATCGATGAGCAAGCAGGATATGATGCAGACGCAAAGGTGAGGATTGACAAAACAAGGACAGCATTCCTACAGTTGAACAACATATGAAACTCAACTGTCAACTAACATCAAAGTCACCATCCTCAATACGAACTTCAAGACAGTTCTACTGTATGGAGCTGAAACTTGGAGAACTACCACAACTCTCATCAAAAGAGTACAAGTATTAATCAACAATTTTCTACGCAAGATACTGAATGTTTGTTGATCGGGTACCATCAGCAACAACCTACTGTATGAGAGGATAAACCAGATTCCAGCTGAGGGAGAAATTAGGAAATGATGTTGGAAGTGTATCGGACATACATTGTAGAAATCATTAAACTGCTTCACGAAGCAAGCGCTAACTTGGGATTGTGGAGGGGAACGGAAAAGCCCTAGGTCAAAGAACACTGTGCGCGAATCGGGAACAGACATGAAAAGGATTGCCCAGGACAGAGTTGGATGGAGGATGCCGGTGAGCGGCTTATGCTCCTCCATGAGGGGTAACAGGCGTAAGTAAGCGAAGCTCTCAGGTCCCAGGAACGATTATGTATAATTGCGTGGGTTCACGTTGTTAACGTACCCTGAAACTAAATGGAAACTCTGGTCTAGTGCAGCTTGTTTTTTATTTAAAATCCAACCGATTTGAGTCAGCAATCAGAGACCGTATAAGTTAGTATTATTAGAAGCCTACGTTATATATACTTTGTTTTGAACAGATGATTTACCATCATTTTTCCAGTTATTCTATCATTTGTGGGTGATCTTGAGCGTGTGTTTATTGTACGTATTTATTTATCTCCTTGCTTATAAACGTCGAGTCGATTTTTAGTTAGATTGAGTAGGATGAGAAGTTTCTCTCTATGCTGCATCTCTTACTGTCTGTTCAAATAAATGAACACCCTAAGTAAATTCGTACTCGGCTTTTATTACCAATTTTAAAAAGTCGGGATTAGTCTAGATATAAATTACTATTCGGAATTAAACGAAAAATTAGTTTCATGATTGATTCATCTTGCGTATCGGAGTCATCACACTGCCACCAAAAGTTGACACGCATCCAAAATACCGGTTAACAGTTTGATATGTCCCGTTGAGAATGGGTTGACGACCTTGCTATATTACACTGGCTGAACCATAATATTATTTCCTTAACTATTAGAGTGCACTAAGCTAAATGGACTAGTATTAACCATTAGTATTCGCTGAAATGTGGTGCTTGTATGAACTAATGATTGTTTTGCACTTGATATGTTCGTTTGTGCTCACCTAGTTTTATTTGGCTGAAATTGCACTGTTTCAAGAATTCCTAGTTAATACAATAATTCGAATACTTCTAATTATCATATGAATGTAGATTTTAATATCTATCAACTTCATTAGTGTTTGTCATGTAAAAGAAGCAAATGCTTATATTTGACAAAGAAAAGTCAAATTAAAGTTATTTGAAATACATTTCAATAAATTGTTCATTAAAATAAATAATTTTTTTTTAATGAATGTTCAACTCTTCAATATGTTTACCTGATTGAAATTGTTTAATCAAAATTATAATAAAATTAGCTCAAGCGAAATGCATGTTGAAAACACTCTAAACTGTGTTATGAAGTCCACGAAAAACTCATATTCTCAGTTTTCTGTAAGTTCTTCTTAGTTATCTTCTCAGATTAAACATAAATTCAATGTTCTTAGCTTTAACTCGAGATGAAGACTGGTAAGACTAACTAGAATTTTCACTTATAAATCAACTCAATGGTTGACTTTATTGAGATAATATTTTAATTATTAGTAGTCCGATACTGACGTGATAGTATTTATGTTTTCGATGAATCGAATTCTTTATCCATGTGAGTTGGAATTTTCCTTACGACTTAAACTTACCACTTCAAATAGTAACTGGGTATTATCTTCGAGCTATCGAATTACATATTTCGTAATAAATATAAATTACCTTTAATATCGTATTACTTTCCGTTTTTGTGTGGATAGTTTTCTCTCACCATATAATTTATTGCAGTAGCACATCAATTAATATTAGTTAATAATAAATTTCATTGTACACTTTTCACAAATAAAGATATTCAGTTGTGCATAAATCTTATTCACTGAATGCCTTTTCAGTTAGATAAAATTAAATGTTCCAGATTTTTATGAAATAATCAGAAAAATAGTTAACTTTTTCAAATCAGTAAACATTTAATCTTTATTCACACTAGTGTCAGTGATTCATGTTCAACCTTTCTCCAATTTACCCTTCTATTCCTTACCGTAATAAATTATTTTATTTGAAAAATTGTCCGGAAAAACCAAACAGTTTAATGTTGCGTTACTCAAAACAGCGTTTGAATCATATTACAACATTGTAAAATGAACCAATTAACTTTGTGATGGATTTTTGTTCTCTGAGCTGGATGGTTTGGTAGTGGAGCTTTCATCGTTATCCTGAAAGGCATCATCAGCACAAACTAGAGGTAGAAATGAAGTATTCGATTTTCTCCACATATGAATCATAGCTTGTCCTGTAGATCTCAATTTTGATTAGTTATTGTTGAGCTTTAACCTGTCATTGTTTACATTATTTTGATTGTATCTCCCATTGATTTAGTTTTTGGTCATATATTTGTATATATATATATATATATATATATATATATATATATATATATATATATATATATATATATATATATATATATATATATACTTGAACATATAAATATTGGCATAATAAAGCATCTTAATACATATGCACCACACAATAACAATGAGATTGTAAAGAGATAGAAAATGTAAAGTGCGTATAGTACAAAGAACAACAAACAGAAATTAGTGAGAGTGAAATAATAATAGGTGGAACAGTTCAGTTAACAAAAATGCAACCAGAATGAGTCCCTTCAGCCAAGGAAGATCCATTCATCTTTATGAAGAAAGTTACAGCAGGATCGCTACCGGCTTCCACTCTGAGCCATATCCGATAATGTTTCTAGCCACTGTCGCACCATCTCTAGGACCCCAACCAAGGAGTCGTGCAGGACCAACAGAAGCCAGTCCTGTACAGTTTTGCTTCATACCGTGAAACTATGTCATACATTGACCACCTCTCCGCTTTTCCCAACCAGTCCCCGAGTCGGCAAATAACGCACGACGTGCAGTCCTCTGGGACGACATTCGTAGAACATGTCCAAGCCACCGAAGTCGATGCTTCAAGATGGTGACACCAATTGGATTATTGTCTCTGTTCCCGAACACGAGATGCTGAACCTATGCATTAGTAACATGGTGTTGCCACTGGATGTGAGCAGTCCTTCGGAGACAACGATGATCAAACGCAGAGTCGTCTAACATCCTCAACTCGGTGGTTTTCACTTCGAAGGTTCACAGAACATACCATGCCGACGGACGCTAATTGCCAACTGAATATGTGCGGAATGCATGGCTTGGGTATCATCCTACAGTCAGGTTATATCATCCGCATACTCAAAGTTGAAAAGTCTTTCTTTACACAACAGATCCACACCACCAGTACGTACATCCATCTGCATTGTTTCCAGAACGTCATCGATAGAAAAGTTAAAAAAGGATGGTGAGATTGAGCAACCCCGCCTAACCCAATCGGTTGAATGAAACAGTGGAGAGCGGTGGGTGTATGCCCTCACTCTGCCTGAGGTGTTTGTATATAGGGTTTCCAAGATGTCAATAAGCTTCTCAGACACACCCTTTTCCAATAGACAATCTCAGAGAACAATCCTGTCCAACGAATCGAAGGTGGCCGTGAAGTCAAGAAACACAATGATTGTTGGCCTGTGATAAGTACGACGAAATTCTAACATTTGGTGGACAGTGAAGACATGGTCAATACATCATCAACCATAACGAAAGTCAACCTTCCGGTGGGTTGACACCCTTGAACCTAGCTCGGTTTGATATTTAGTTGTAACACAAGCTGCAAACGATTTGGAGACATCGGGCCGTTTGGGACGATGAATTTGTTGGCAACTGAAACGCAGAATAAGATTAGTGCAAACAATCAGATGATCCGAGTCCAAACAATTACTCTAAAAGGAGATTCTTGTACACAACCACAACAGCAAGAGCTGATAGCGATGTAACCAGTGAGTCCAGGCTTGAAAAGCAGAGGGAGAACGCCAGGTGTCACATCAGCGATGACTGTCCCGATAATTAGTGGTAGTCTAACATCCTCAACTCAGAGGCCAGGTTTCACAAGCATGGGACAGAACCGCTCTCACCAACGCGTTGTAGATCCGACCTTTTGCAACCAGATTAACATCGCGGTGCCAAAGATGGCCCAGATGGGTATAAGGCGCTCTGACTTTCACCATACGTGAACTAATCACTCACGCCATTACCAGCTATTACGCAGCTACCAGATACACGATCTCGACTTCTTGAACTGCTCATTACCAAGATTGAGTACAGATATAGACCTTTGCCAGTCATGTAAAATTGATTTTGTTACATGTTTTAAAGCCTTTATTCAGAGAGTCGCACTAATCGCTTTCGCGTGTTTGGGCTATTAAGTCAAACGGAAGAACACAGGCAAATTCGTGAGTGAAATAATGTTGAGGCTTATAATTTTTCAGCTAAAACTTTATATTTCTTATTTGAAACTAAGACACTCATACAAGATTTGAAATCGGCACTTGATGTACAGTAGTCTAAACCAACAGCTTTTACTTACTCAAAGCACATAAAATCTGGTACAAAAGGGCAGCCAAAAAAATAGAACGCGCTGTGCGAAACATAGAGACAACAGTATGAATAGGAAAAAGGAGTATATTTAAAGGGAAATAAATAAATAAGTGAGTAGTAAATAATAGACAGCGTAGTTTAGTCAACCATACAACGGAGATCCCTCTCGGTTAAAAACCTATTTATTTTTATGAAGACCAAGGGAAAGAAAACTGACCAGCTCTCGGATTTTCCCGCCCAATATCAATAATTATTGCAAAATGTGACACCTACTAGGATAACATTCGTGACGCATCGCCAAGTTACTACGGCTGGTATCTCAAGATGGTGACACCAAGTGAGTTATCGTTACGGTCTGAACGCACTATCAAACTTAAGTAATCAACATCAAGTTTTCTTCAAGGCCGTCTACCCCCTGCATTCATATTTAACTTCATTATAGATATTCTTTTAAAGATAACGGTCTCATTGTCTAATTTTTCAGGGACTGACTGCTTATCAGGAAATCTACTTGTGGACGTGAAATATAAAGTGAATTTTGCTCCATTTTAGTTTATATGTGCAGCCATTAAGGAAAGAGGATATTCATATGTTACTAGTATCCCATCATGTGTCTTCGAACAATTGTCGAAGTTAGACATAACGTAATAAATGATGTATTACGTATGTTCAACCACCACTTACTTCGACAAATAATATTGCCTGGTGTAAGAGTAGATCGGAAGGAAGCTAGGGAAGGCCAAACTTAGATGTGGCACCAGTCTATAAGGAAACTGACAACTGGACTGAGCCATGTACACCGGTGTAGACTACCTAATTGGAGTCCGCATGATTATCGTAAACAAAGGTTCAAGATTCTAAGTGACACAGCTTAAAGTTGCTCGCAGTGACACAATTATATTCACTCGCATTAATTTAGAACCTGAGTATCAATATCTTTGTATACAGTAGTAGTAGTAGTAGCGTTTATCTTGATAATTTAGTCTCGCTGTGCTAATTTGGTATGGCAACTTGAGCCAGGACATGTGTTGGGTTCTACGTTGCAAGTGAATGATTGAAGCTACATTCTTGAATTGTAGCCCTAGGAGCACCCTATTAGGATCTAACACAAGACTAAATTATAGAATAAAAGAAGTGTGGAAGATATTCACATGACCTTCGACCAGAAGCATTACATGTTTTGATATCCACTGTGGTAACCTAAATTATTACACAAAAACAGATTTTCGCATTTTTTCACTAGATTGTGTAATATTCGAAAGAGAACGGTAGACAAGAGTACTCCAATTACAAACTATTTATTTACTAGTATGTTGAGAATAAAAATAAAATGACATGTTTATGGTATACCGATTAATTTGTAGAAAAATGAACGATTAGTAATAAACAGCTCTCGAAATAGTTGGCGCAATTGTTAGAAAACCAAAGAAAGCCAGGCGAACACAAGGGTCATGCCACCAATAGGTGCTATTCTAGAGAATCGATCATCTCCAGTTAGAGCCACATAATAGCATGAACCAGAGAACAGTAGAGTTCCGGTGGCGAAAAGAGTAGCAGACTGTAATTGATTAGTTCAAATTCATTGATGTCAGTGATTTACCAGAACAGGACGTCTGAATAAAGGCGTGGTTAACAAAGTCACCGAATGAACCAAATGATAATAAGCCCCAGTTTTGAAAATTTGTCTTTGTTTATCTTGTTCATCTCTGAAACCTAAAAGTTAAAACTTTGGAGTAAGTAAATCTAATTTTTTACCATGAGCACCATAAGCGCTCGCAATAACAGCCAATGCCCCAGAAAATCCAGCTAGTCGTACCAACATTGAATCCCAACAAAATGACGGTTTAACTTCAATCACAGGACTAGATTGACCAGTTGTACCACAACCCATGAGGTTTAATATTCCATTAACATAAGGCAGGTATACCATCTACAAAATGTGGTACTAAATACACAGAAGCATTTCATAAAAGATTATTATTTACGGAAGAAAACGATGAAAATTATTGAAGTGATAATTTTGAGTTGAATACAAAATATTTGGGTGTATTCAAACATAGGTCCATCAGTATATTCATAAGGCCATTGAAGATGAACAAGATTAAAATTTTCCAGCCAACCACACATGCCATAGTAAATTATGGTTTGTCACAAACCTCTGTCATACACGATATTTGTTCGACACTTCAAGTCATGGGTAGTATAGGACTTCGATTCCTTTTATTCTAAACAAAACAACGGATAAATATATAGTCCTCGAATTCAACACAGGTCTTAGGATCGTTTGACCTTCACAAACTTTGTTTCTTGGCCTTGGAGAAATGGTGAACGACTAAGTTATCCAAACTGTTACTTCTGAAGTTATTACATAAATACTTAATCATTTCTTAAGAGCGGAAATTAAAAACTGCAACCACTTTAGTAAGACTACTTTTGACCAATACACAGCGAAATCCCGGTTAACCTGACTAATTATCGACATCAAAGATCTTATCAAGTCACGTACAAGAATTTCGCCTTATTTTTGGTTTGCCACAGCCGTTCAGATTTAGTAAAAGTTTAAGTAATTATGTCTTGTTAGGATTTTGGCTGGATAACGGACAATAGGGACGTAGCTGTCTGGGATTTGAATTGCTTTCGTGTTACTGACGTTTCGACTACCAGCCTTGGAAAGTTCTTTGATCAAAAATAAAGGTTGAAAACTTGGGGCAGCAGATGCAAAACCTACCATAAAGTTGTGGATTTGTTAAGTGTCGTTTTGTGTTCATTATTATCATACACTTTTATATTCTCTTAACTCATTTTATCAAATTATAAACTTCACTTTTTCCTTAAAAAATATGGTAGTATGTGATTTCTGTGTATGGTTACCGTATCAATAATTTACGAGTACTCATTTTGAACCTAGAATGGTCAGCTTGTGACATTCTGATGGAACGGATAATAGTGATCGCAAGTATGTTCCGGCCATTCAATCTTACTGGGTGAAGTGGCAACGACAACTCAACGAACTGGAACTTTACCGGATGTCTCGAAACTGGAGACACTTGGGGTACTGTTGTAACTTTTTCACCACAAAATCTTGGCACTTGTAAGTTGGATCGCTTCCTCACTTATTATAAATAGTATGTACGGCTTCCTTTCTTAAATATTCCTGGGCCACGTTCTTTTCCAACGGCATGTCTTGTGGTGACCTGATGCTAATGGGTAATTTCCTTTTGAGAAACTATAGATTATTGGAGTGACAGCTTAAATTAAGTGACGTTTACGAATTCAAAACCAGTTCGAACGTAAATAAAAAATCCTTGACTATCAGTTTCAGTTAAGCCTCCAAATTAACCGAGGAAGCCCTCAAAACCTGGACAAAACAGGCTGAAGATTGGATAACAATTCCACCTATTAAGCCAAATTTCTAAAAATTTAAACGGCCTAAAACAAATTGACAGACGTCTCTAGATAAAAATGACTCACCAATAAAACATTCACATATGAATTATTACCTCAATATCTGGAGAACTGACTAGTCTCCATGATTCAATAATAAGGTATCTTCGAAAACGGAGGACAGTAATGTGGTGACTTTGTTTACTTAACCCAAGTTATTTATGGGGAGCTATAATAACTTTTGCTAGCATCGCTAGTCACGAAGATTAACGATTAGCACTACAATGTATTTAAATTTCTCTGTAATAGACGATGAACAACATGAACTTAGCGAACTGTTATTACACTACCGTTTCACTAGTCTACTAGTGTACTGCATTACATGTTGAATCCAGTTAATTTTGTGCACTTGTCAATACATACATAAATGGAGGTTTAACAACAGTAAACACAAATAATAAAAACCCACCCAAACTAGCGAGTGAGTTTATAACACTTTAGCAGCTTTATTCTGTAGATAAAAAATCTAGTCGGCTTTGTAAAATTACTAGCTAATCAATTGTCACTAAAACTAAATCACCGGTAGGCAATAGTGTATTTAGTGAAGGCTTCGTATAACTTCAATAAGCTATATCCAGTGGTGAGTATTAATTCACGGAGTACCAATGAATAATAGACAGAAAACAAACAACAAGAACGAACGTAGAATCTTGCGTTGGATTTCGTTGTGCTATGTTGCGCAAACAATGGAGTAGGCGCTATAATATATTATGCACAACCCTGAAATTAAATAAACAATGAGTACATTCATATAGTTGTAAACGAAATGAAAGACCTTTCCGCTTAACGAGCCTCTGTATCTAGCAGCAATTGGTGACCGGTGCTTCAAGGTAGGAACTTGTTATATTTGGCGATAAAAACATAAATATTAATAGAGTGGAATGATGTACTAAGGGCTTAAGTCCTTGTGGATACGTCATGTTTTCTCGAAAAGCAGACCTGTGAAGTTACATAAACAACCTCATCTGACAAAGAATTCCCGAACTTAACTATTTGTAAACAGTGAAAGACGTGCCCACAGCCTGTTCTGCTGTCTCCAGATTCTGGGTGTTGCCCCGAAGATTATTGTTGGGACTGAGCTTAAGTAAGTATTTAAGAATATACCCATGGGTGTTTAAAACGCTGTAAGTCAATAAAATATCAGCTCTGAGGCGCATATACTCTAGTGTGTAAATATTCAGTAATTTAAGGCTTTCTTCGTGTGGTTTGAATTAGAGTCCTCAAACAAATTTCGTGGCTCCTGTATTCATAACATTTTGGGGTGATTGAGGAAACACTACTTTCCTATGTTGTAAACATGGCCAAACGAAACTGTAAAAGACTTGATGGAAGGTCCTTACAAATCGGTGAAAAATGATGTAGGGATACATTAATCCCCAAAATAAGTAGGTATTTAAGTTTTCAAAGTTGCCTTTGGTCTAATTAGTTTTAATGGACACTCGGTAACGCGTCCACACAAAATTACGAGTGGGTACGTCATGCTACATATCCCTTGCAACTTCTAGCCAGTATAGACTAAACGCTCTCCGATAAATCGATAGCCATTCAAATACATTGTAGCGGTAAATAAATCTCCAAAATAAATGGCTCTTCAAGTTTTCGACATTGGATGCTGACCACAGTTTTAGTGGACTCATCTAGCTGAAGGCGCATGGTCATGCATACGCACAAGATCACGAGTGGGAACGCCGTGCTCAACAACCCCTGCAATCGCTAGCCAAATTGGATCAGATGATCCTCGATATATTGATGGCGTATCAAATAAATCTTCGAACCTTCTCACTTCTGTCTTTTGATTTCACTTGATGGGTACGATTCATATCAGAAGTTGTTACTGGTCAAAGTGTTGTCAAACACCGAATACCCGTGGCATCTTCAACACATCAGAACCACATCAATTTTCGACTCTTATTTTGACTGGGTTGGTATACCTCGACAACAAAGGTTCTACGTGTGGATAGATTGTCAAACTTCAAATACCTGTTACATCTTCAGTGCGCTTTGTTGAGATCTTAAGTCTGAAAATGAATAAATTACTTTCTTTCCTCTGCATTTAGAATGGTCAAATATGCTTCTATACAGTTTTCTCAAGAGGATTTTGAGCAACTAATTTACTCAGAAAATCAAATAAGATAAATTAAATTATTGATCGAAAATTTAACTTTACATTGAATATTCTGTATCAGAATTCCTTAATAGAACATAGCTAATATAAATTTAATCTCAAGATCCAGAATAACGAATCCCAATCCAATTAACTTTGACAAACCTTTTGTTATGTTTATCTAAGCTTTGTTGAATCTTGAACTCCTATAATCAAAGAGAATCTGAGGTGTCTTAACCCACAAAATTGCTCCCCGACTCGGATGGCATCCGACAAAATGTCTTGAGTAGATGCGCGGATCTACTTTGCATCCAACCTCCTACCCTCTTCAAGTGTTCCATTGTAGTGGCACTGGGCCCTAACCACAGAATCCTTAAAGTTGAACAGAAGACCACTGGGATAATACATATTCAGTATTTAACGCAAGGAGGATCCCAGCGATGGAGAAGGCGGAAACAAACTAGTGAATTAATTCGAACTGATCGGATGACATGGCTTGGTCTTGCAGTCGTGGCTATCCTTGAATGTTGTTATATACCACTTAATCATATTAAAGATATTGTCCTATCTCTAGCACAAGTGTGTTCATCATATATTGATGATTGTAACGACGCGATGAGTTCGTGTAGAAAATAACGTGACTTCCACGTAAGATCTTACAGATTAGGCAGTTACATTATGACAAATCTACAATTTTAGGATTAGGTCTATTATTAGAGCAGTACTAATAACAAAGTAGACCATAATTCTACACTGGTAAGCCTGACTAATGAAACGTAACCTATTACTATCAGTCCTTATTTCCCCCTTACTTTCTCGATCGATCCTTTATTTATGTAAAACCCATTATTCTAATAGTCCTCTGATTAATTCTCACATGTATTATCGTAATGTTATAGTGACTAGTATTCATAACTCACTAGCTCAATCGATAATAAAAACTTGTCATCTAATTTAATTATTAGCTTTGATGGTTCGTTAACAAGCTTTAATATCATCTACATGCTTCAGCTAAATTAACTTCTTTTAACATCAAGCTCTAGCAAATATGACCTGCAAATAACCTCAATATACATTGACTAACAATGCAATCAAGGATTAAATATTTATCTGGATCTAATTCTTAGTGTTCCTCCCCTTGAAAAATTCTGTTCTAAACTATGCAATATCCTGTAATATATTTTCTTCGGGCCACTGCCTGCTTAATTTCCGATTGCTAAGTTCCATGGCCAAACAGAGGATACGAATGCTAGAAATGTACGATGAGTTTGAATCATAAATTTTCTGTATGCTTAAATCTCGTTCAGACTGTCCATCAGGCAATGCTACATATTTGGCTTCAATTAATTTTGGAATTATACTAATTCCGTCTACAATGCTGAGTTAATCCAACAGCAAACCGTATACAATCCAGATTCGAACTACTGTCTACTCCAAATTTTCATCAGTTGGATTCGAAAATATACCAGGCAAGTTTTATTTTTTCCCCTGCCATCAGTTGCATGTCGTTACGCAACCTAAATAAAGCGCGCCAACTGTGATACTGACTAAAACCATCTAAATCCATATCTTATATAATGTCAACCCAGCTGAATAATTTACTACAGTGGAAATTATATCATTTGCAACAATATTGTACAGGCCTACTGTGAAGTGTGTGGTTATTTGTAAAATAGTCTTGGTGGTTAGGCGCGTAGCCACTGTTATAGCTATTTACGTTAGCGTGAGAGCGGTCTGCTGCGCGTAACTGGAAAGAGCTGCGACTGTTATTATACGTGAGAGCCGTTTTTATGTTGTGGGTTGGTACCAAACGGTGTGAAAAGTTTTTTTTCTGAGAGTAACTACAGTTGTGATCCTGGGGAATGTAGATAGGGTGTGGAGTGAAAAACCTATTATTACCATTCTTATTAATGGTTTTAAGCTTTAGGGGGTGATTGGAGTGATCAGTACTCTGGTAGATTTGTTGGTCAGCGTGTAAAAAGGCGTGTTACGCTGTAGCCCACTATACATTTTGCAACGTAGAGGTGTTCAAGGCAAATTATATGATATCGGCGAGGAGAAACTGTTCACTGTTGTTGGGATACCTATAGAGCAGTTGGTTTCAACCTTATGTGTCCCCCTACTCGGTATCGTGAGTCTTGTCTTCCCACCCTTTTTTGTCAGAGCTGGAGTCTTTCGTTGACTCTGTGAGATGAATTTAGGTTCACTCGAGTCAACTTGTGGAGTATCTTTAGGAGGACTAATTTTCGATTGTGTAGGTATAGTTGGATACATGATGTCAATCGGTCCATATTTTAGTACTTTAATGAGCGAACAGCTGGGATTAGACATGTCATTATGCATTTCGGTAACAGTTGGAATCCGTATCTTATCCAAAGCTTTCTGATCAGCAGACTCATTTAGATCTGCAGAGTGATCTGCAGTTTGTGGAGTGGTCATGCTCATTTTTCATGTGCTTTAATCTACTTACTGTGTCGCAAACTGTTTCCAGCTGATTATTTACGATAACACTACCATGCAATCCTATCGCTTCACATCTTCTAACACGACGTTGACAGGGCGTAAGGTCTGGAGTGACTTTTATATTTTTGTATGGAATTAATAAGCTTATGTTTTTGCTCGAATCAATAGACTGTTTATCATCGTTACGACAGCCCAACTTAAACAGGAAGGGGCGTGTTGATCTGTCTGACTTTTTTCTAAGGCGGATGACTTTGCAGTTAACGTTCAGCATACTGCATGTTCTGAGGCAAATATCCCTCATCTTAGTTGGGTGTGTGGGCGGGGAGATTATACGCAACTGCATTGAAATACGACATCACTCTTTTCGTCACTTCTTTAGCCGAAAACTCCAAAATACACTCAGCTTTGGTGATTTGCTCTCGATTTCTATCAGTATCAAGGCCCCAAACTATGACTACACAAACATTTAATCTAACGTCATATATTACTTCAATAACAAATTATTTTTTTAATAATTTCTATTTTATTTTCGTTTCTTATTTCACGATACATACATACACTCCTGTTAAACTATTCGCGCATTTTACTCCTCCATTTCTTCTTTCAAAGTCAATTCATTATTCTTCTTAATTACACATTACCTGATTTATTATTATTATTCCGCTATCATTAATATTTCTTCTCTTTTTCAAATATGGCAAATATAATGCTAACATCATTGAAATTTGTGTATTATTGCACTTTTGATGAAACCTGAAATGATTTTTTTACAACACTTATGTACCCATAATATGTTTGTGAATAATAATAATAATATATGTGTGAGGGTGCTCGTTGGTTAAGTCTGCGCGTGTGTATTGTGCCTTGTATGTCAACCAGTCTTACCGTTGGCATACTGAACGGAGGGATAGATGTATTCTAACATGGAAAATCAGGTAATGATAGTGATATTTGTGGATAACATAAAGGTTCGACATTGTCAGGTACTAAGTCGTCCTTCACGGGAGTGACAGATTCGGACTTTTTATTTGGCCTAGAAGCCGGTGAAATTTCTCTTTTATTGGAGTTATTGGCCATGATTTGAAACTGGATGAGTAGAGAGCTCGTTGAACTAAATATAAGATCTGAGTATTAGTTGTTATTAAGTAT